AAATATAAGTCACAGCATCTGAAAGAGCGTAAAATTCCCTATCAAATGAGCCTTTGAAATACCAAATTCCTTGAAAATTGACTGAGATATGACCATTTAAAGTAACTCCCCATATATCTCTTAGTTACCATTCAGCCCGTATATCTAAGAGACCACTATGACGTCACAATGTCAAATTCCAGTCTTGTAATACAACTTCCATTAAACACACCAAAAAGTCATTTTTGCAGCCATTTTCGAGCGGTTTTCAGTCTTTTACTCTCTTTAAAACTCTTTTCCGCATTGGATAAACCGTATTTCAACACCCTTGTAGCCAAAATAACGTCAGTATAAAGGTACAAACTTCACCTTCTATCTATCTCCCTATATGAGAGCTACGCTCACTTATCTCAAATATCTCAGCATGGCGGACATCATTACACAAATCTCTTATCTCATGCACCAAGCTCCACATGCACCCTACATGATACTTACCGTTTTTGTCTGCTCCGAGCTTTAATCTGTACACAGTCCAATATTTCCAGACACCCTTCGCATATGCGTTACTAAGGCACTCTGGACGGCTTTGAGCTTACAGACATAATATCCCTGACCTTACACTCAAATATAAGTCACAGCATCTGAAAGAGCGTAAAATTCCCTATCAAATGAGCCTTTGAAATACCAAATTCCTTGAAAATTGACTGAGATATGACCATTTAAAGTAACTCCCCATATATCTCTTAGTTACCATTCAGCCCGTATATCTAAGAGACCACTATGACGTCACAATGTCAAATTCCAGTCTTGTAATACAACTTCCATTAAACACACCAAAAAGTCATTTTTGCAGCCATTTTCGAGCGGTTTTCAGTCTTTTACTCTCTTTAAAACTCTTTTCCGCATTGGATAAACCGTATTTCAACACCCTTGTAGCCAAAATAACGTCAATATAAAGGTACAAACTTCACCTTCTATCTATCTCCCTATATGAGAGCTACGCTCACTTATCTCAAATATCTCAGCATGGCGGACATCATTACACAAATCTCTTATCTCATGCACCAAGCTCCACATGCACCCTACATGATACTTACCGTTTTTGTCTGCTCCGAGCTTTAATCTGTACACAGTCCAATATTTCCAGACACCCTTCGCATATGCGTTACTAAGGCACTCTGGACGGCTTTGAGCTTACAGACATAATATCCCTGACCTTACACTCAAATATAAGTCACAGCATCTGAAAGAGCGTAAAATTCCCTATCAAATGAGCCTTTGAAATACCAAATTCCTTGAAAATTGACTGAGATATGACCATTTAAAGTAACTCCCCATATATCTCTTAGTTACCATTCAGCCCGTATATCTAAGAGACCACTATGACGTCACAATGTCAAATTCCAGTCTTGTAATACAACTTCCATTAAACACACCAAAAAGTCATTTTTGCAGCCATTTTCGAGCGGTTTTCAGTCTTTCACTCTCTTTAAAACTCTTTTCCGCATTGGATAAACCGTATTTCAACACCCTTGTAGCCAAAATAACGTCAATATAAAGGTACAAACTTCACCTTCTATCTATCTCCCTATATGAGAGCTACGCTCACTTATCTCAAATATCTCAGCATGGCGGACATCATTACACAAATCTCTTATCTCATGCACCAAGCTCCACATGCACCCTACATGATACTTACCGTTTTTGTCTGCTCCGAGCTTTAATCTGTACACAGTCCAATATTTCCAGACACCCTTCGCATATGCGTTACTAAGGCACTCTGGACGGCTTTGAGCTTAGAGACATAATATCCCTGACCTTACACTCAAATATAAGTCACAGCATCTGAAAGAGCGTAAAATTCCCTATCAAATGAGCCTTTGAAATACCAAATTCCTTGAAAATTGACTGAGATATGACCATTTAAAGTAACTCCCCATATATCTCTTAGTTACCATTCAGCCCGTATATCTAAGAGACCACTATGACGTCACAATGTCAAATTCCAGTCTTGTAATACAACTTCCATTAAACACACCAAAAAGTCATTTTTGCAGCCATTTTCGAGCGGTTTTCAGTCTTTTACTCTCTTTAAAACTCTTTTCCGCATTGGATAAACCGTATTTCAACACCCTTGTAGCCAAAATAACGTCAATATAAAGGTACAAACTTCACCTTCTATCTATCTCCCTATATGAGAGCTACGCTCACTTATCTCAAATATCTCAGCATGGCGGACATCATTACACAAATCTCTTATCTCATGCACCAAGCTCCACATGCACCCTACATGATACTTACCGTTTTTGTCTGCTCCGAGCTTTAATCTGTACACAGTCCAATATTTCCAGACACCCTTCGCATATGCGTTACTAAGGCACTCTGGACGGCTTTGAGCTTACAGACATAATATCCCTGACCTTACACTCAAATATAAGTCACAGCATCTGAAAGAGCGTAAAATTCCCTATCAAATGAGCCTTTGAAATACCAAATTCCTTGAAAATTGACTGAGATATGACCATTTAAAGTAACTCCCCATATATCTCTTAGTTACCATTCAGCCCGTATATCTAAGAGACCACTATGACGTCACAATGTCAAATTCCAGTCTTGTAATACAACTTCCATTAAACACACCAAAAAGTCATTTTTGCAGCCATTTTCGAGCGGTTTTCAGTCTTTTACTCTCTTTAAAACTCTTTTCCGCATTGGATAAACCGTATTTCAACACCCTTGTAGCCAAAATAACGTCAGTATAAAGGTACAAACTTCACCTTCTATCTATCTCCCTATATGAGAGCTACGCTCACTTATCTCAAATATCTCAGCATGGCGGACATCATTACACAAATCTCTTATCTCATGCACCAAGCTCCACATGCACCCTACATGATACTTACCGTTTTTGTCTGCTCCGAGCTTTAATCTGTACACAGTCCAATATTTCCAGACACCCTTCGCATATGCGTTACTAAGGCACTCTGGACGGCTTTGAGCTTACAGACATAATATCCCTGACCTTACACTCAAATATAAGTCACAGCATCTGAAAGAGCGTAAAATTCCCTATCAAATGAGCCTTTGAAATACCAAATTCCTTGAAAATTGACTGAGATATGACCATTTAAAGTAACTCCCCATATATCTCTTAGTTACCATTCAGCCCGTATATCTAAGAGACCACTATGACGTCACAATGTCAAATTCCAGTCTTGTAATACAACTTCCATTAAACACACCAAAAAGTCATTTTTGCAGCCATTTTCGAGCGGTTTTCAGTCTTTTACTCTCTTTAAAACTCTTTTCCGCATTGGATAAACCGTATTTCAACACCCTTGTAGCCAAAATAACGTCAATATAAAGGTACAAACTTCACCTTCTATCTATCTCCCTATATGAGAGCTACGCTCACTTATCTCAAATATCTCAGCATGGCGGACATCATTACACAAATCTCTTATCTCATGCACCAAGCTCCACATGCACCCTACATGATACTTACCGTTTTTGTCTGCTCCGAGCTTTAATCTGTACACAGTCCAATATTTCCAGACACCCTTCGCATATGCGTTACTAAGGCACTCTGGACGGCTTTGAGCTTAGAGACATAATATCCCTGACCTTACACTCAAATATAAGTCACAGCATCTGAAAGAGCGTAAAATTCCCTATCAAATGAGCCTTTGAAATACCAAATTCCTTGATTTATTTTTTATTTGAACATCTTATTCATATTTATATAAAATGAACACCTTATTAATGTACCAAATGTGTTTCCTACAAACATTTTCCTCTCTGCATTTTCGTATCCGTTTATTTGAAATAAATGTTACCTTCCAGATAAAAATTACAAAATTTAATCTTTTTATGGCATACCGTACAAGTCCTTGTCACTGATTCATTCACTGAACTTAGGATTAATGAAAATCTTTCGCAGCACGAAATAAATTGAGGTTATCGTTGCACTCGAATTACACTTGTCTTCAACTTCTTGTATTCAGCACAAAAATCAAAATCTCTAAACAAAGTGCCCCCTCCCAATAGTTTACTTATAACGCCAATATTTTTTTTCAAATAAGTTAAAGTCTTCATCTAAATTTTTTATCAACTTCTTTTCAAATTTCCGAGTGCAGAACAAATATTTTCTTTCAATGACCAATCAGTTTTCCTGTGATATTTTCTTCCCCGCTCAACATAGCGTGTCCAAAATGTCTGCGCCCATGCACGCTTCTTTCACTTTCTATGGTTAGGTTATTCTCGAAATGGAAGCCAACAATTAATTATTCTAAGAAAAACCTTTTAATTCGAATGATATGAAAGAAATCTAGGTATCTAGAAAAAGCCGGTCGCCTTCATGAATCCCAACACCATGCATGGATTTTGTAGGGGACGTGCATACGGTGCAATATGAATCTTGCATGTAAATATTATTATATCTAAGTGCATATGTATATCAATAATTTTTTTCTGTTGAAACAAAATTGTGAATTATTATACATTGAATGCTGGTACACGCACAGATACATATAATATGAAATTGCAAGAGACGTGATCAATTTTATCGGGTTCGTTTTGTACAGCAATCTGGATCACTGATGTGTTTGCTTGGTCAGAGATGCGTGCAAGTCTTAAGCGCTTTGTTCACGCAGATTCACTGATAGTGGAACGTCCATGTTTACTTGAGTATAGCCGGCTGAGTCACTTCCGTATTCTCTAAATACATTTTAAACGTCTTACATTCTGTCTTAAAACAAAAAAATCATGGCAGGTCGTCTGCCAGCAGTTGTCATAGACAATGGAACTGGGTATGCTATCAGATTTCCTTGCTTTTCTTCAATTATTAATTAGGAGTGCACACACACCGGGGTGGGCGGATATGTACCCTTTTGAACATTAATAAATCAAATGTCTTTTTCAAATAGCTATTGAAGTAAAAACTTCCTGTCTAATATGTTAAGGCACTAGAGACTGTTTAATAATCACGTGACTATGATGTATGTTCTACAGGAAACTCGCTTTATGCTCTCATATCCGCATACTTCCTGCTATAAGTTGTAAAATAGGGAGGTCTCTGGTGTGTGTGGCAGGAACGAATTTCAGGGGGATTTAGACTTTTTCTGTGATCATGTCATTGTCATCAGGGTTTAAAGGTTCCCCCACGGGGACACCTGCAGTGATCATTGATGGTGGTACAGGGTATGTAGTAGGGCGTGAATGTTAGTAATAAAAGCATGTTTCCTTGTTCCAGTACTAGTATTATGTTGGGAAACTTTCAGTTTTTACTTGTATCAAGATTGATTTTATTATTAATCACCTCTGCTGAGACTAATTTTGCATGTGAGACTTTTTGAATGCTTTGAAATGTGTGGCAAATCGCCTTTTAATTTAAATTAAGCTCTGGAATCATAGTAATCACTAATGGAGGTCAGAGATAGGAAGATATTTCCTGCAGGGAAGAAATCAGCTATAAACCAAAACATCCATGGCTGTTCAAAATCAAAGAATTTACTTTAATTTTTCCCCATTTAACATAATTTACAATTCATAGCTTTCTAATTCTGCAGGTACACTAAAATGGGATATGCCGGTAACACTGAGCCACAGTTCATCATTCCGTCAGCCATTGCTGTAAAAGAAACTGCTTCAGTGGGAAGTCGACAAGTCAAGGGTGTGGAAGATCTAGATTTTTATATTGGGGATGAAGCTGTTAATGCAACTGGTTATGCTGTTAAGGTAAGTGTTTAAAATAATCAGAAATTATGCTATTTCATTTCTTAAAATAATATATTGGAAGAAAAGGGGGGGGGGGTACTTAAGAGTTGCAAGGTGATGTTGTCTGTCCATCATGCATTTTGACATTTACTCTGACAATCATTCATACATGGTTTACAAATTGCACTGAGGTGTTCTGAATATTTACGCTAATTCCATGTATGTAACAACAGACATTGCCATTTTCTAAATTGTTTATGCTTTTTCCATGCATATATCAGCAAACACAAAGTTTATAGCTGATGGCATATAAGATTATGATTATAGGTTAAATTTTACAATGTAAAATGTAATTATAAAATTATTCTATAAATGATTTATATGGCAGTTGATAGATTGTTGCCTATAAAGGTTTTGTATTATGCTTGACAGAAATACAGAATACTGTTGTCAAATACCTTTAGATGCTATGTGGCAAAACCAAATGGGAAAAAAAAAAGAAAAAAAAACCTTCGAACATCTGAAATATATTAATTTCTCTCCTCACAAACAAAACTAAGGATGTTGTATACCAGATATTTAATTGCAACAAATAAGCAGAGTGTTTACAAATTCCTGTGTAATACATGTGACTTCATACTGATATTCTTATGCTTTCAGTGGCCTATAAGACATGGTATAGTAGAAGACTGGGATTTAATGGAAAGGTTCTTAGAGCAGGCAATTTTCAAATATCTAAGATCTGAGCCTGAAGATCATTACTTTTTGTTGGTAAGAAAGGGAAAAAATAAGCATAAAAATATAAATTATGAATAAAGAATTCAAAAATAAACAAGAAATCTTATATGCAGTTTTTTTGTACAATAAGTAGTTTTGAAAATTTTTTTAAAATGTCCCCTTTAAAAATGCTTCAATGTAAGTTACAGTGCAGCCTCTTTAATCCAGACACTTTAATCCGGAGCAAAATATCTGGATTGATGAAGAATCCGGATTACTGAAACATACTTGGTAGATATATAGCTATAAATTGTTCCCCACAAATTTTGTGGGGTAGGTGAAGCATCCGGATTAAGGAGGCTTCTCTGTATACTGTAATACATTCAAACCTCATTATCTCGAACTCAGTGGGACTGAGAAAATATTTTTGAAATATCCAAGGATTCAAGATATCAAGGGTAAAATATTTAAGGAATAAGCAGTCGGGACTTCCAAATCACTTTGACATATCCATGGTATTCGAGATACCAAAGTTCATCTGTACATAATATCAATTGTTCATTAATTAACTGTGCCTTGGCTAAGTAATGTTAAATTCTTTGTTTCAGACTGAACCACCACTGAACACGCCAGAGAACCGCGAGTACACAGCAGAAATCATGTTTGAATCCTTTAACGTTCCTGGTTTGTACATCGCCGTGCAGGCCGTATTGGCGCTGGCTGCATCGTGGACGTCACGTCAAGTGGGAGAGAGGACCCTCACGGGAACTGTGATAGACTCTGGTGATGGTGTCACTCACGTCATTCCTGTTGTATGTTAATTAGTTTACAACATTACATGTTGCCTTTTACAATTTCTTTATCATAGAATATATTGCACAAAGTTTTAGATAGTTTAATTTGGTGTGAAATCTACATGTAAAGGGAATAAGATCAAACATTTGTGTGAGCATTGAGTTACATCTTGATTTTCAGAGATTGAACATATATAGAAATTTAGACAATCTATCACAGTTATATTAAAAAACAATAACATCTTGTCAAAGAATTGTGTATTCAAGGAAGTTAACATTTTTTTTGTTTAGATGACATATTTTCTTACTTTCCTCATTTTAAAATGTATGTCAATTTTATTAGGAACTCAAATGTTTAAACAAAATTTGTTATATTCATGTTCACTTATTACTTGCTTAGCTGAAATCTCTGCTGTTTTCCATTCAAGCACAAAGGAGAATAAAAGGAAAATGCAACATGAATTAAATGTACTATTCATCAACAAATTTATGGGGTATATTTTTTCTTGCTCCACAGGCTGAAGGGTATGTGATAGGAAGCTGTATAAAGCACATCCCTATTGCTGGGAGAGACATCACCTATTTCATTCAACAACTGCTGAGAGAAAGGGAAGTGGGAATTCCCCCCGAACAGTCCTTAGAAACTGCCAAAGCTATCAAGGTATGTATCCAAGATATCAGTGCTTTCTGTAAGGAAAATATTTTAAAATCGCATACTTAACAGGGTGTGTTTGGATTTGCCCTTGGTTGTTTTCATGGTATTTGTATTTTGTAACAGATTTGGTTGTGTGCTATTTTGAATTGTATATTTCAAAATTGCATACTACTGATTAATATTTATTTACATCATACAAGTATTCATTTTACCCTTTTTTATTTTTATGGTGTTTAAAATAGAGTCAGTTTCCATGCTGTTTTTTGTTTAGATTGATTTCACCACAGAATTAATGTTATAGAATTTTTTAGCCATGAAAACAGTTGGAAATACAGCTGCATATCATAACCTCAGTATATGTCAAATTTGTTGATGACACTACTTTTTTTTGTTGTTGCTGTTTTTATTTTAAGAAGAAGCACAATTTAACTCAGTGTATGAAAATAAAGCTGTGTATCATAACCTCCAGTATATGTCAAATTTGTTGATACATGTAATACTGTTTGGGGTTTTTTTCTTATTTTTCTTTTTAAGAAGAAGCGTTATTTAGTCAGTGCATCCTACGTTGTGATCAATTAATCGAAAAGAATAAATAAACCATATAAAACCTAGATTAAGATTAAAATCCTCAAACTTTCATGGCATTTAGTTTATATGTCAGTCAAATGCATGAATGGAAAGTCTTTGTTTCAGAATCTGCCCCCTCCCCTAATGGGTTTTTTTTTTCTTTGAATTAGGAAAAATATTCATATGTGTGTCCTGATATTGCTAAAGAATTTGCCAAATATGACCAAGATCCGGGCAAATGGATGAAGAAATACGAGAGTCTCAACTATATCTCTAAGCAGCCATTTTCTGTTGATGTTGGATACGAACGCTTTTTGGGTCCAGAAATCTTCTTTCATCCTGAGGTATGATATATATATATTGAGTATGTTTCTGGAAACAATTGCATAGAAATTATGCAAAAATAGTTTCTTTAAAGTCCACATTTGAGGAAAACTATTTCTGATCAGTATTATAACCTTTAATGATGGTATCCTTTCGCAGTTTTGCAATCCCGACTTTATCACACCTATATCAGAAGTGGTGGATACTGTTATACAGCATTGTCCCATAGACACTCGTAGAGGATTGTATAAGGTTAGTGTTTCAGTTAGAAAATTAGCAAAAGCAGTCTCTCTTTTTTTTTTCTTTAAGAAAATAGTGTAGTTTTGAGATGATTGTAAATTTTCTTAAAGGAAAAAAATGGGAGTGTTTTTTTAATACTGGATAATCATTTGTGCTGTATGTACCTGTTCATTTTGTACATGAATTTGGTATTCACATTATCTTGTACATGTATATATTGGGTAGACAAAATTGTTCTCCACACATTAGAATACAGAATATTGATTTATGAGATAAGAACAAATGGATAAGGAAGGATTTCCTCAATGTTTCTTAAGAAAAGTATTGTTCATGTATTTACAAGCTAGACAGACAAAACATTGAATCAATATAAAGGATATTATCATTCACAAATTTCAGTTTTCGTTCTCAGTTTCTGAGGCCCAGACTCTATTAATTCACAATGCAGTTGTGAATTGGGTATTTTGATATATTTCCTTTTGAAACTAAGTTAGAAATTTCTTCTTTTTTTATTTCTTTGAATAGAACATAGTGTTGTCAGGAGGTTCAACCATGTTTAAAGACTTTGGAAGGAAAATTCAGCGTGATGTAAAGAAAGTTGTGGATGCTCGATTGAGAATCAGTGAAGAACTAAGTCAAGGGAGAATCAAGGTATGTGTACTGCTGGTGTACGGTATTTTCTTGTAAACTGTTGTTGGGGAGCATTTAGTCAAGCCTGTTTAAACAACGATTATCAGTAGAATCAATGAAGATAAAAAGCACTTGCCAAGTATCTTTTAAAATCGAAATCCGTATACTTTAATTAGCCTTCTAGGAAATAAATTTTAAAATAATAAATAATATATTAAATAGGTTTTCACTTGGAATTTTTCAATTTAAGACTTAGGACTTTATTTTTTAGAAAGTTGAGTTGAGCTAAATTTGATGAGTCCAGAAAATTATATTGAATATGAATATTAAGTATTAAGAGTATAACTACAGTGTACATAATTACTGCTCAATCCCACTCATCACTTACATAATAAGAGGTGCAAGGTAATAAAAATTAAATACAATTAAAATATATCATTGAGAAAGTAAGATTGCAGTTCCCCGAGGCCAGGACTATACCCATGGCGAAGGGGAGGGAAATAGTCCTGGCGTCGGGGCCACCAACATATAAAAATCTCAGCTCAAATCTCAACCTCAAATCTTAGATTTCAGCCTCAGCTGAGATTTTCCTAAAACGCCATGCCACCAACATTTCTGAGATTCCTCTCAAGTAAGCTAAGATTTGAGAAATATCTAAGACTTATTCTCGTTGTTATATGCGATCTTTTTTCTTATAATGCACGAAGTTTTTGAATCAATGATTGAATTTACCTTTCAGTTAGTTTTTTATGCAATATTTTGGTGTATATAATCACGAAAATGCACATTCTCCACTTCCTTCATCTTTTATTGCTGTTTCGAGTCATTCAAAGGAAAGGATTCCATTACGATCTTTGCGAAATAAGTATTCACCGAGTCCCTGTAAAATAATCCCTACAGAAGAATAACACAAAAACATATCCAAACTTTATAGTCTTGGCTCGTCTGTCAACAAAAACACACAAAAAATTGTGACGTTATGTGTCGGATTACAAAAAGTAGATGGGCGGATCAAGACTTTATTTGCTGGTCGATTACACATTTTTCTTTCTTTAATTTTTCTCCACAGCAAAAATATTTTAGGTATAGGGACGTTTTATCCCCATTTTACCATAAAATAATTATGTGAGATTTTATTTGAGACTACTATGTACCAATCTCAAGATTTTCTGAGAAATCTCAGATTTTTTTCTCAGCTCAGTCAGAAAAAACGTTGGTGGCACACATGCTAGAGAAAAATCTCAGATTTGAGAAAAATCTCAGATTTAAGAAAAAACTCTAAAGATAAGTCTGAGTTTGAGAAATAATGTGTTTGGTGACACAGTTTGGTGAGAAAAACTCAAATTTTCTGAGAAGTCTCAAATTTTAGAAAATCTCAGCGTTGGTGGCCCCGAAGCCTGATCGAGGGGTACTGGAATCTTGCCAACTCCCTCATTGATAATTTGATATACTTTATTTTGCTACTGTAGATCACTAAATTTTCGCCACACCTTATTTTCTATTATTATAGGTACAGAATTTGGGACAATAAGTGGGACAAAATTTTCATGAAATCTGGTTACATTTATTGCTCTGTAAAATCTATATTAATAAAAATACAGGCAAGAATGAAATTTTCGCAAGCAAATTATCACACATAATTACATAAAAATAAAGTTCTCACTAATAAAAAGTGATTTACTGTATACTGATGTAAATTTCGAAGCAGGGATTAGCTCACTTGACACCCAGCGAAACGGGGATAAGTCCATTCACAGTGATACCAATACAAATTTCAAAGCAAGGATTAGCTCACTTCACTAATAGCAATGGGGATAAGTCCATTCACAGCGATTTCTACAGTAAAAGTATATCATTGAGGGAGTTAGCAAGATTCCAGTTCCCCAAGGCCAGGACTATTTCCTGAGGCGAAACCCAGGGAAATAATCCCAGTTGAGGAGAACTGGAATCTTGGCAACTCCGTCAGTGATATACTTTTTTACTGTTCTATTATACTGATACAAATTTTGGAGCATGGATTAGCTAACTTGACTAACACATGGCATAATGGGGATTAGTCCATGCACAGGGATATCGCTACAAATTTCAAAGCAGGGATCAGCTCGCTTCACTGACACATGGCAAAAACGGAGATAAGTCTATTCACAGCAATTTCTAGGAAATTACTCATGTCTAACGCTAAAATATCATATAAAGAAAAATCAGTAGAGGTATAATGTTGGTAATAGTAAATAATTATCACAGTTATATACATTACGATAGTGTACTCTTTTAAAAAGACTTGTGGTTCATAAAAATATGATACATAGCCAGGATGGCGAATGGAAGACTGGAAGTTACAATTTTCTATACCATTTACTCTGACAAGGCATTGATTAATAATCGTGAAATATTCTATTATAACTTTGTTTGCTGAAAGAGCATGGATATTTCTGACAAGTAAATTTGATAAAACTTATGTGTTTTGCTTTAAATCTTATAAACATTAGCAATGTGCTAATACATGAGTGCAGGGCTCTAATTGGCGACTAATTTAGTTGCCATGGCACCTAAAATTTTTGATTGGCATCTAAAATTTTTCCATAAGTCACCAAATTGGCGACCGTTTTAAATTGACTTGGCGATCGTTGAATTTCTGAAATTTTCACATTTTTAATAATATTTCAGAAAAAGTGAAAAGAAATTTTTAAAGAAGAGGAAATTATTTTTAGCAATGGACAAGTCGTGTTTTCTTAGGCACGTCATGGGTCCCTATATTCTAATAACTATTAAAGTTGGCACCTTAGAAAAATTGCCTTGCGACTAAAAATTTGCATTGGCGACTAAATTTTTTGATAAGGCGCCAGCTGGCGCCTAAATTTTAGAGGCCACTTAGAGGCCTGGAGTGTATAATTGTATTTGTTGAAAGTATGTATTAACAACACAGTGTGTAGCTACATGTATGTAGAAATTTTAATGCTCACAGTTCTAATTAACATTAAAATGGGCATAAAATACATAAGTAAATATATTTTTTTTGAAAATAGCATTAACTACTCACTGTTCTGTGTATACATGTTTATACATGTATCAATATATTTCGTACATGTATCAACATACCCCTTTCTAATTCAAGGCCATTCAAATACAAGATTGTGAATTATATGAAACATTTTTGTTAAATGAGGAGCAAAATTATAATGTACATTTATGTCACCTTTTAAATACATGTATTACATATCCCATTCAAATATGAAGGTATGAATAAACATTTTTATGCTCAATATAAATAATGTCATCTAGATAAATGGAACATTTTGTCAGTATTTAAACAAACTGTGAATTTAAGATAGCAAAATAATATACTAGAAGACAAGTCAAGTTTTTTAAAAATTAAAAGTTTTGAATATTTTGAAATTCCTGACTGTCTTTAGAAAGTTACAGGAACTTTTTTGAAGAAACTCTTCCCATAAAATTTGCAGAAAAATGCTATTCTTCTATATATTTCAAGAGGAAAACGTAAGGGGAAATATCACAAACTAAATCATGTTAACAACAGTATATTTAAACTACTCATGCAAACTTGAAAAAAAAATCCAGATAATACATGTACATTGTAAATTCTATTGAACATTATGTCAAATTTCAAGGACATGTTTTTCATTAGATTTTCTCATGCTTTAAAACTCAAACTACCTTAATGTAGAAAAGGTTGCATGCGTGGTGCAGTGGTTAGAGCGTTCGCTCTAGAGTTGCAGAGTAAGGGGTCAAATTCACTGCGGGAAGACCGGTCCTTCGGAAGAGACCTTATAAACCGAGGTCCCATGTCGCAGTAGGTGCTGGCATGAAAAAGATCCCTCACTGCTCAATGGCCCTGAGTGCCGAGTATAGGTCAAAATTTTGCAGCTCTTCACCGGCAACTGGTGGCATCTCCATATGAGTGAAAAATTCTAGAGAGGGACATTAAACAATAACAAACAAACATAATGTAGAATAGGAAGTCAAAGAAGATCTTCCTTCTTAGATACCAGGAAAAAGTAAAATAGATGGAAGAAATGATTAGATAAATACATAAACAATAATTTTAGTATAGAAAATTTTAAAGTGTACATTAGCAAGAAATACTGTAAACGTATTACATTTGGCTGTGGATTCTGTTAAGTTCCTTTTGCCGAGAGCAGCATCTGCTAAATTAAGTACATTGTTAAATGTCTTGTGTATATAGATACATGTATATTCATATAAAGCACATTCAGAAAGTGCTAAATCAAATCTATGCTAACTTGCTGAAATTTAATATGTGCCAAATACCCATGCATGCCAGACATAATACTTTTACAATATCTTATAGCATTTTACAAAATCAGAAGAAAAAATAAAAATCCATGCTGAGATTGAACTCCTTATATGCAGTTTACTAAACCTATGATTTAAAAGCACCAAGCTACCTTAAGTAATTTTATAATTTGCTTTGAAGTGTGACAAATTGCAATCTCATAAATAATCCTTTAGTGAAAGTAGTTGTATTTTGAGATGGACCCTAAAAGATATCCAGACAATATACATGTATTTCCTAAAACTCTACATCCACACTGAAGTTAGTGTGTAGACATGAAAATAAGGAATTTCTATTGTAATTTTTACATACACATTAAAAAAAAAACAAGTTGGCAATTATCATCACTGATTTATACAATGTCTTTACAAACAAGTAACAGTGATTAATTATTTTCAGCCTAAGCCAATTGATGTGCAGGTGATAACCCATCATATGCAGAGATACGCCGTGTGGTTTGGTGGAAGTATGCTGGCATCAACAGTAAGTGTCTGTGAACAATAAGTTGGCAATGGTTCAGCTCTAGATTTAAATTTCTCTTTATAAAAAAAAAAATCACAAAAATTAGAGTATGAAAAATCCCTGTTTTTGGGAAGGTCATTTTAACAGAATTGCAGTAATTAAGTGTGCAAAGTCAAGTCACAAGAATTTTTATAAATCAAAAATATTTCCTTTTCTTTCAATTTTTTGTTTAGAGTTATGTTTTATTTCATTTGATCAAGGACAAATAAGGTCATACATTTGCAGAAAAACCTTATGTAACACCTTGCAATATTGTATGCTATTGAAAAAGAAATTTTAAAGTTCTGTATGCTTTTGTTTAATCTGGGTTTTAATGTTTCATTTGTTAATGGGGTTTACAAAGAAGCCCAATTTGAATTTGTAGTTATTTAAGGATTACATGTATATCTTGGGACTCTTGTGAATTAATTAAATTTTTTTTAAAGAACAATACTCCTTTTTCCTTTTGATACTTTCATTCATGAGTTACAAATTGATTTTATTAATTTTATACATTTATTGACTGTGTTTCTATGTTTGAGGGCAACATGCATTTTGTTGCATCCAAGAACCAAACAGTTTACCTTAGGCTGTTGGGCAAATTTAAGGCAGTCTGGTTCGAGGGTTGAGCAATATGCATGCTGTCCGAGAACACAGTCAGTAAATGTTTTGTTATACCATTTACTTTTAATAATGACATTTCCTGCATTGGCTTTTATGTTTGTGATATGTAAATTCTGTTTACCTGCACTGCTGATTTAACTTGGTCAATTTTAAAAACTGTCAAACATCCTCAAATGTAACTTAGATATAGCTGATCCCACCTATGCATGACATAAAAAAACATCCAACATTTCATCAACCGATCAAATATCTCAGTCCAATATTGAATTTTTTGGATGGCTTGGTAAAACATTGAAAATGTTGGACTTCTTAGTACATAGAATTATATAGGAAACAATTAACTTATTCATTTATTTATCTATTTAATTTTTTTTATTTTTTTAGCTCTACTGGTCAGAGACCAGAAGAGCTTATGCGATAGTAAGGTGTCCGTCGTCCGTCCGTCTGTCTGTCTGTCTGTCTGTCTGTCTGTCTGTCCGTCTGTCTGTAAACAATTTTTCAAAACGCTACTCCTCCTACAGTTTTGGTCCGATTTCAATATAACTTGGCACACAAGTTGACTACACTAAGATACATAATTTAGTGCATCGGTTTTTGATTTCGATGGACGGTGTTGCCATGGTTACTAACAATAGAAATTTCTGTGAAATTCGTTTAAAACGCTACTCCTCCTACAGTTTTGATCCGATTTCAATATAACTTGGCACACAAGTAGACTACACTAAGATACATAATTTAGTGCATCGGTTTTTGATTTCGATGAACGGTGTTGCCATGGTTACTAAAAATAGAAATTTCTGTGAAATTCCTTTAAAACGCTACTCCTCCTACAGTTTTGGTCCGATTTCAATATAACTTGGCACACAAGTAGACTACACTAAGATACATAATTTAGTGCATCGGTTTTTGATTTCGATGGACGGTGTTGCCATGGTTACTAACAATAGAAATTTCTGTGAAATTCGTTTAAAACGCTACTCCTCCTACAGTTTTGGTCCGATTTCAATATAACTTGGCACACAAGTAGACTACACTAAGATACATAATTTAGTGCATCGGTTTTTGATTTCGATGAACGGTGTTGCCAGGGTTACTAAAAATAGAAATTTCTGTGAAATTCGTTTAAAACGCTACTCCTCCTACAGTTTTGGTCTGATTTCAGTATAACTAGGCACACAAGTAGACTACAGTAAGATACATAATTTAGTGCATGGGTTTTTGATTTCAATGGACGGTGTTGCCATGGTTACTAAAAATAGAAATTTCTGTGAAATTCGTTTAAAACGCTACTCCTGCTACAGTTTTGGTCTGATTTCAATATAACTTGGCACACAAGTAGACTACACTAAGATGCATAATTTAGTGCATCGGATTTTGATTTCGATGGACGGTGTTGCCATGGTTACTAAAAATAGAAATGTCTATGAAATTCCTTTAAAACGCTACTCCTCCTACAGTTTTTGTCTGATTTCAGTATAACTAGGCACACAAGTAGACTACACTAAGATACATAATTTAGTGCATCGGTTTTTGATTTCGATGGACGGTGTTGCCATGGTTACTAAAAATAGAAATTTCTGTGAAATTCCTTTAAAACGCTACTCCTCCTACAGTTTTGATCCGATTTCAATATAACTTGGCACACAAGTAGACTACCCTAAGATGCATAATTTAGTGCATTGGAGATTGATTTCAATGGACGGTGTTGCCATGGTTACTAAAAATAGAAATGTCTATGAAATTCCTTTAAAATGCTACTCCTCCTACAGTTTTGGTCCGATTTCAATATAACTTGGCACACAAGTAGACTACACTAAGATACATAATTTTGTGCATGGGTTTTTGAATTCAATGGACGGTGTTGCCATGGTTACTAAAAATAGAAATTTCTGTGAAATTCATTTTAAAACGCTACTCCTCCTACAGTTTTGGTCTGATTTCAATATAACTTGGCACACAAGTAGACTACACTAAGATACAATATTTAGTGCATCGGTTTTTGATTTCGATGGACAGTGTTGCCATGGTTACTAAAAATAGAAATTTCTGTGAAATTCCTTTAAAACGCTACTCCTCCTACAGTTTTAGTCTGCTTTTAATATAATTAGGCATACAAGAAGACTATACTAAGATACATAACTTAATGCATCAGTTTTTGAATTCGATGAACAGTGTTGCCATGGTTACTTAAAATAGAAATTTTTGAGAAATTTCCATAAAACGTTACTCCTCCTATAAATTTGGTCTGATTTCAATCTAATTTGGCACACAGTTAGAATACACTACGATACATAATATGTATTTCTGTTTTTTTTATTTCGGTGAATGGTGTTGTCATGGTTACTAAAAATAGAAATTTCCGTGAAATACTTTCAAAACGCTACTCCTCCTACAGTTTTCGTTTGATTTCAAAATAACTTGGCACAGAAGTAGACTACATTATTAAAGATACATAATTCTATTTATTGTTGCATGTTGCAGAGTTTCAAATCCAAGTGCTACTTTTCTTTTGTTATACGTACAGACCAGTAGAGCTACAGTCTCATCAGAGACTTCTGGTTATTATTTTTTTTTTTATTTTTCTTTTTTTTTTTTTTGAAAATAAATATTTTTCATACTTTCAACATCAGTCATTGAAATTATTACATGTACAAGAAGTAGATGTTTACCAGTAACAAAATACTAATATTTGTTCTTTTTTAATTTTCAGCCTGAATTTTATCAAGTTTGTCATACGAAGGCTGATTATGATGAACATGGACCTAGCATTTGTCGTCACAATCCTGTGTTTGGTACAATGTCCTAGTGGTGGAGGGGTAACCACCTATTGTATGTTCAGAGAAAATGATGGAAAGAAGAAAATCAGTGGCTTCCAAACAAAACTGAACACACTAACTTGATTTGGTCAAAAAACTTGTAGATTAATTATGTCTCAATTTAAACGGTAAACAGCATATAATTTAATATGCTGCAAAGATACATTTCTTCATATGGGTTTAAAACGGTCAGTCAGAATTAAAGAAACTTTGTGATATTAAGAATAAGTTGTTCACTGATATTAGTATAGAAATGAACAAAATCATGTACAGTGTCACAATGAAATTGTTAAGTACAGAGTATTATGTATGTATATGCTTATAGGAGCCAAGTAAAAGTTTTTATATCATTTATTTTCAAATTCATAAAAGTATTTATCATTCAATGAAATGTTTATATGACATGACATGTATATGAAACAATAAATATTACAGAAAAACACTGTAACTCAGCTTAGTTCTTATTTTTTATGGATTGGAAAATAGGGGGGGGGGGGGGGAACTCTACTTTTTATATACATGTACATGTATCTTTAAGGGACCATCAACTGGTCCAAGACTCTCAGCTGTAAAAAACACAAACACTTAACAGGCATGTAGTATCACGGGGCCTGCATCCCCTTTTTTTCAAACATAACCTTTTGAAAACAAGAGGCCCAATGGCCTTAACGGTCACCTGAGTATAATACAACAATTTACAGGATACACAGAGTATGAAATGAACTGAAAGGTGAAGCTTTGTTGCCCAAAAGCAAGAAAAATAGGGTGATCAGGATCAACAAAATAATTAGTCTAGTGTTCATTAACAGTTCATAAATAGGTTCTAATCTGTTTCCCATTTATCACTATCACCGCACAGTATATTAACAATCAGTGCTTCTGTACTATTTTAATTCCTTGTTGAAATCTCTTACGTTGGACTCTCTTGGTCTTTGATGAACATTGAATAGGACAAGTTATTTTTATCTCATTTTTATTTATCTATTACTTACAAGTATACCTGATCATTAAAACTATGAAAGTACTTTTTGTATTATACAATAAAAATTCCTGCATAATTCCCGTATTCTATTAACCTTTCAAGTACATTATTTACAGTGATTAATTATCAAAAGTAAATGGCATAGGGGAATAACTCCTCTCATTAGAATACAAATCAATAGAGCTCTGGCCAGGACCAGAACACTTAACCAAATGGTCCAGATGTTCAAAAATCTTTATTAAAACTTTTACCTTTTTTGCCTCTGATATGCCCAGGTGCAGAGAAGACTTTCAATGAAATAATGCATCTTTACTACAGATTCACTAAATTAGCAATTTATCGATAGAGCCCCCCGTCCCACCGAGAAACACCAGAGCCTCTCACCCTGGGACCAGAAGTTTGCTCATCATAAGTAATCACTTTGTTTATCTGCTTAACACTAAGGAGCAGACAGGATTATTTAACAGAATTGATGCATTTTCACTATATTATCAAGAGTCCCACCCTTACACCAGCACATCTGACCCAGGGGTCATGCAATTCACTACTCTGGAAGAAGCACTCTTGTTCATCATAACTATACACTTAGCTTCTTTGCTTTCTAACCAGAAGCGAAAAGAATATTTTCAAAAAAAATTTGCTTTTTCACTATACAATGTATAATCAAAAGAGCCCCCCCCCCTTTTCATCAGGACCCTTGACCCTGGGGCCACGAAATTCACAATTTTGGAAGAGGCAATCTTGCGTATCATAACAATGTACTTCGTTTGTTTAAATAATACCCAGGGGCAGAGAAGAAGATTTTCAAAGAAATAATTCACCTTCACTATAGGATCTATATAGCCCCGTCCTAGGGCCATGAATTTCACAATTTTGGAAGAGGCATCCTTGCTTATCATAACAATGTACTTAGTTTGTTTAAATAATACCCATAAGCAGAGAAGAAGATTTTTAAAGAATTAATGCATTTTCACTATATAATAAATAGAGCCCAGCCCTAACACCAGAACCCCTGACCCTGGGGCTATGAATTTCACAATTCTGGTAAAGTCATTCTTGCTTATCATAACTATGTATTCAATTTGTTTCAATAATACCCAGGAGTAGAGAAGAAGATTTTCAAAGAAATAATGCACTTTCACTATAAGATCTATATAGCCCCGCCCTAGCACCAGAACCTCTGACCCTGAGGCCATGAAATTCACAATTTTGGTAGAGGGCTCAATGCTTATTACAATCATACCAACAGTTTGACTGCTTTTTAATTTTGGTGGTTTTAGCCCCACCCCTCAGGCCCCAGGGGGGCAGGGACAATGAAATTCACAAATTTTTTTTCCCCTTTGCACATACATGCCATATGCTAAAATTGGCTGAAATTGGTTCAGCGGTTTCAGAGAGGAAGCTGAAAATGTGCAAATGTTAACACACGACGGATGATGCACAATGGAGGACGACGGACGAAAACAGATAGCAATAGGTCACCTGAGTGACTGAGGTGACCTAATGATCATTGAAAGGCTGGTCCATCCCCACACTTTTTGTTGCAATATAGTCAAATCGGGGTAATAGGTAATGTATGAATAAAATTGGTTGGGAAAAAAGTTGGAACCCTTTAAAATTTTTGATTTCATGGTCCCTGGATCGAGGGTCATAGTGTTGGGGGTGGGGGTGGGGGGCTGTATTGATCATATAGTGAAATGCCTTATTTCTTTTAAAATCTTCTCTGCTCCTGGGTATTAAGCAAACAAACTAAGTGCATAAAGATGATGAACAAGGGTGACTCTTCCAAAATCATAAATTTCTTGGCCCCTGGGTCAGAGGTTCTGGTGTAAGGTCGGGGCTCTTTTGATTATATAAAGTATAAAAAATGCATAAATTCTTTAAGGACATTGGCAAGGTTCCTGGTTATTGTATAGAATTTTTCAAGAACTCTTGAGTAGGTTTAAATGTACTAAACAGCTCGCGAGGCTATATTCTGGATCGTTTTACCTACCAATCCAACATTCTTTTAGATTTTGTCGAAGAATGATGGCATGCAAGGCGCGGACGATCCCCCGCACTGAAAGAAGACATTTTTCAATTCTTAAAATTCATGAAAAGTTGTATTTTTCAAAAATTATATTGTCAATATAATCTTTTATACATTTGTTTCCTATATTTTGTGTAATAAATTATTGACACATAACTTTATTTTTCACCAATGTTTTAAGGTGATTGAAAAAGAAAAAAAACTTCACACATGATCCGAACTCTCTCCAAAGCTAACAGTTAGACGTAAGACTGAACGCGTTAACCACTACGCAACGAAGTCTGCCTGTCTTGTTTGATATCGGTGTCATTTAAATAAACGAGTTTGTTGAAGCGTAAATTTTTTTTCAGAAATGTTCGATTTTCATATAGAATGGGTTCTGACTCCATTTTTTTGAAACATGAAACAGATTTTAGATTTACTTTTCCGTCGTTTAAACGTAAATGAAAAAATGGAGACTTGACCCATTCATATTCAAAAATCATTTTCTTTATGGCTAATGTAAATATAAGAAATGAATTTAATTTTTGAAAATTCATGACGTACATGAACTACAACGCTTCAAGCCGGCATATTTATCATGAAGCGCGTTACATGAAGCGCGAACGTGCTTCATGAAATATGCCGGCGTGAAGCGTCGTAGTTCATGTCCTCATGAATCTTCAAAAATTAGATTCATTTCTTAAAAAAATTTCCACTCTCCCCCTGTGTTTAAAGCAACAATCTTAGTGCATGGGTTATGATGAGCAAGGGTGCCTCTTCCAAAATTGTGAAATTCATGGCCCCTGGGTTAGGGATTCTGCTGTTAAGGTGGGGCTCCATTGATAATATGGTAAAAATGCATTTATTTGCATTTATTCTTTTAAAATCCTCATCTCTTCTTGTGGGTATTTAGCGGATAAACTGTGAATGGTTATGAGGAGCAAGGATGCCTCTTACAAAATTGTAAATTCATGGCCCTGGGTCAGGGTTTCTAATGTTAGGGTGGGGCCTTGTTGGTCACATTGTAAAAATGCATTTATTATTTGACAATCTCCCTCTCTGCTCTTGGGTATTTAGCAGATAAAATAAGTGCATGGTTATATGAGCTAGGATACTTCTTCCAAAATTGTAAAATTCATGGCCCCTGGGTCAGAGGTTCTGATGTTAGGTTGGGGCCCTATTGATCACATTGTAGAAATGCATTTTTTCTTTGAAATCTTCTTGTCCTCTCATTGGTATTTAGCAGATAAACTTAGTGTGTGGTTATGAAAAGCAAGGATGCCTCTTTCAAAATTGTGAAATTCATGACCCCATGGTCAGGGTTTCTGGTGTTAAGGTGGGGTTCTATTGATCATATGGTAAACATGCATAAATTCTTTAAAAATCTTCTGCTCTGCTATAGGTGTTTAGTAGACAAACTAATTGCATGTTTATTATGTGCAATGATGCCTCTTCCAAGATTGTGAAATTCATGGGCTCTGGGTAAGATGTTTTATATTGGTGGATGGGGCTTTATTGATATCAATTATATGATGAAAAAGCATTAGTTTATTAGCACTGACAAGTACCTACAAGCAAATAAATGGATCTGCTTACTATGATTTGTTACTGAGTACTAAACTAACTATTTTGCTGATCCCTGATCATCGTTTTTCTCGTGATTTTGGGCAATATATCTTCATCTATTAGTTTTTGTTTTTAATTACCTATTTATTTTCCCCTTTAAGGAAGTTCTAAACACTAACAAAAAGTGCTTCTTTTTTTATCATATAAAGGTGTGCATATTGAGTCAATTTAGTTCATTTTCAACAAAAGGTGCCTGCCTTATTTCTGCAGGAAAAATGTTCAAAGACAATGGACTATTCGTGAGCAGAAATCGCTGTTGTTTACTTACATTGGGAAAATTAATGGAAATAATGAATTCAATTGCTTATTCTTGGTCTAATATAATGCTAAGAATATTTTAATCTATTACAAGTTGTGTTATTAACTGTAAATAACCAATTTTCTTTCTTACTTCTGAGGGCAGATCACTCTAACTGCATAAAACTACCCTATAAGTAGAACTCTTTAGTGTGTAGTGTTTAGAGCTTCCTTAAAGGAGACGTGATCCATTATTTGAACAAAGTTGAATTCCTTTACCCAAGATTACTTTCTGACAAGTTTAATTTAAATTGTCCCATTGGTTCTATAGAAGACGTACATGAGCCTTTGGCTCGGGTGAGCTAAAGCGGAACAAACAGCTAGACATCACCCAAGAACAGCACAAAAAAATAAAACAAATCAAATTAAACTGAACAAAATAAAAACAACTACATGTATTACACAACAAAAGAAAAAAATGGAAAGCAAATAACGAAAGATATGAAAACAAACAATCAAAGGTTTTGTTAAGAAGGCTTCTGCAGCGATTCATTCACAATGTACATGTACGCAGTATTTCGCGCGTGCGCTTGATTCACTGATTAATCGTTTTGGAGTGAAACACGTGCACAGGTAGATAGCAGATCAAGAAATGCTAACAATGTAATTAATAACGATGATGACGATTTTCTCATTTCGCAAATAATTAGTCAGAACATGTAAAGACCCACAGAGTTCATAGCGCGGTATGATCCGCGCCCCTTCCTGCGGCTAAGTTCGTTGTAGGTAAACTCTGTTCTTTGCATTGTACGTTTCTGTTTGTTGATCATGTCTGCTTATTCTGTTTTGTGTTTATTTTTATTTGGATTTGTAGTTTTTCTTTTCATATCAGGTATGTAATTTTAGGAAGTTGTATACATGTCCAAACATTAAAAATATTTTCTGGGTTTGCTCAGATGAATAGATACAGACTGTATAAAAATACTAACAATGTAGATCGCTTTCATCTCGTTCAAGTAATGACATTCGAACACATTCTGATCTATTTCCTTTATTTGTGCCCATCATAAAATTGTAAACCTGATTGAAAAATACAGGTGCATCATAATCAATATACCAGGGGTGTACAATGTATATGAATGAAAGGAAAATGTATTCAATTTACAGATAATCAATAATAGAATGTGTTCCAGTGTCAATATACTCGGACAAAATTATAACAAAGTGAGAAATGTTGAGTTTACTTAATTCAGTACGTACAACATCAACTTTTGAAGATGAAGTTCAGGCAAAACCGTTGAAAGGAAGTTACAATTGCACGTATATTAAGTTATCAATCATCGTTTGACTGCCCTATTCTCTTTCAAGCGATAAATGTCAAAAAAAGTTGCAAAGGAATGCCAATAAATATTAGAAAAAGGTGTATATCAGGAAAGAAAAGTAAAAAAAGAATTGGACGCAAATCAATATCAAGATATAGATGACAGATTTATCTTTTCAAAATCAGGATAAGTCAATTTTCACTGTCTGAAATCGACATTTCTAAAAGCAGTATACGTGTGTTTTATTTATTTCGGTTTAATCATACTATTTTTAATGTATAGCCTACAATTTTTACTTCTCAGTTGTGTTATTTACATAGTTGACCAGGCTGAAGGCGGAGAATGCTGCAAGGCTCATTACGATAATGGAGGATTGCGTCATGATACCACGTGGTGTAGCCACTATTGTTGTCATGATCGACGGCGCATGTACAGCCCTCTTTACTGCTGTAGTGATTTCTTCATGAGGGCCGACAGATCTGACAGACTTGACTTCTGTAGCTCGTGGTTTACAGCTTCCGCCAATCTGTACGTTTTAATTTATTAATTAGATTTTCTTGCTTCTGAGTCTTTATTAACCGAATGGTGGTGAATCAAAAGAATTAAACAATATTTTCCAAGACGATTGTCCCAACAGCCACAAAACTAGAACCCGTCCAATCCTATATTTATAAAAATCATGAACTATATATATGGGGAAAATAGTCATTGCCAATAGAATTTAAAGGTATAAAAGTAAAGACGGGTTAGTCTGTTATTAAACGTGTCTGGTTGCAGTCGGTGGTCAAAACAACAAATTCGCCAATTTTAATCAATGAATGCTTTAATGTTAAATAAATCTTCTGAAAGGTTGTAAAGACTGAACATCGCCTGCTTTGAAGATAGGTTGCTCAAAACTCTGGTTAACTAGCATTAACCGCTGGTCAAATCCCTTGTCCATTGGTTATATTTTAACCATTGGTGCTCAAAAATGCACCGGTAAACTTACCTACCCAGTGGTTAAATATTGGCCATTTGGAAAGGAAGTCTCATCAGCCGTAATGATATATTATGTTATCTCTGCTTTTTTCTTATACACCCTATCGAATTGAAAATTCGGGGGTATATAGTTTTTGCCCTCTCCGTCCGTCTATCTGTCTGTTTGTCCACAAAAACTTTAACATTGCTCATAACTTTTGATTGGTTGGAGTTATGGCTTTCATATTTCACTTGTGTATTCTTTGAGACAAGACCTTTCTTTGGGTACCATCATATTTGACCTTTTGACCTTGGAGTTTGACCCAGTTTTACAAAATTTTATCCAACTTTAACCTTGGCCATAACTTTTGAACAGTTGGTGCTTTCATACTTCACATATGTAGTCATCGTCGCAAACCACGGCCAAAATGTACGATCCTCTCCCATTCTGGGAGAGAGCTATATGCGGACTCCGGACCGTTGCTTGAGACGATGATGTGTAGTCCTTGTGACAAGATTTTCTCAAGAACTGTACAGTATATAGCCACATTATTGTCATATGGATTTACAGTCATATATCCGTACAGTTTAGATTCTTTTTTAAAAAAAAAAGCATAACCATGGGCAAGTATGAAGCCCTATTAGTGGTCAAGGTAAATATTGCAATGTAAAGAGTTCTTTAAAAATTCTCTCTGAAGAACATGCAGCGGGACCACAGTTATGTTGATATATGACCATGTAGCTAGATTTTTTTTGGTCAAGTAATTGCCTCATGGGCAAAGGATGGGCCATAATAGGGTATGAAGGTTTTTATTTATGGAAATATCTTTATGAACCCTCTCTACACTGCACTCTAAAGAGGTATAAGTTTGTGGTATTTTATGCAGTTAGAGTAATCTGCCCCTAGATCTAAAATTAAATAAATGAAAATTTGCAGTGTATAACTCAATTTATAATCAATCCAATCCAAACATTCTTAGCATTTTAATAGGTCAAGATAAAATAACTGAACATTTTATTAGCATGTATTTTCCTAAAAAAAAAAAAAAAAAAAAAAAAAAAAAGCTAGTACTTTCTGTTATCGATACTTTATTGTCTTTGAACATTTTACCTGAGGGTAAATGCTAGGTACCCTATGTTGAAATTGGGAAAGATAAGCTCAGTATATACACCTTTATACAATATGATTTTCTCAATGTCGGAAAAACATTTTGCTTCAATGTATAGAGGGTTCATAAAAATTCTTTAACCCAATAACAGCAAGGCTAAACTCAGGTGAGCTTTGTGGCTTTTGGCCTCTTGTCTTTAACATTTCTAGCTGTGTTTTGTTTTGTAGGTGGGCGCCTGTGTTGATAGCCATAGTGATAATCGCCATTCTTATTGGTTGTGGAATATGTTGCTGTTGCATTCCAGGATTCTGTTTCTGTTGCTGACATTCCAGAGGAACAAAAAAAAAACTGAAAATAATAATTCCTCAAAAAGATTAATCCTAATCTCTAGATTAGTGAGATTACACATTGTAATGGTTGCATAACTGTTTTCAAAGAGGTCTGTAACTGTGTGCAACATACATCTGGTATGATAATATGAAAAAAAGAAGGCATTAGTTGGTCACACTGTTAAGGTAAAATTTATCATCTGGAATTAATAGAGCTTTTACGTAGACTGTACATGTACATATACTCTGTATAGATTAAAATATTTCTTCCAAATGAAGGAAATTATTGATGTTCACTGCTATCATTTTAATCGAATTTGTTTCATAAATACATCATTGTAAAATTTGATTTTTAAGTGTGTCTTGAAGTATCAGGGTAGATTTTAATGTTTTTGAAGATATAGAAACCTCTCAATAAATATTTTTGAAACAAAAAAAAAAACAATTGTTTTAGTTACTTGTTTATTTCTAGATTTCTAAAGTTGCATCGCGATTTGTTGCAATTGGTGTTACCTATAAAATAGTCAGATATTTCCGCGTGTTTGAATAGAAAGACTTACACTTTTGCTGAGAGTACTAGTATATGAATTAGATACATTTCAGTGTACGGACCACGTTTTAAAAATGTGAATAATTTTTCTGCATTTGTACTTGCTTGAAGATCAGAAAATAATGAAAACCGGAAATATTTCAGTGACCACATCGGTAAGAGTAAGGTACATGGTTGGAGCTGAAGAAATTCAAGGAGGATTACTCAACAAATCATTACTGTAACTTGAACTGGTCTGAAGTAACCATGATCTTCGTGTTCATGTAGTTTATGTCCTTGACACTAAATTCGTATTTAATGCATTGAAAATTAACCTTGACCTGCCAAGGGCCAGCATCCCAATACTCTCCTGTACAAAAAATTGAATTTTGCAATTTAAAATTGTCATATGTAAATTTGAATTGAAAAATATCTACACTTTTTGTAGATGGTGCTGTTGGAATAAGGCTCCAGAAAGGTGGATATATGTCGAGTGCATCCAGGTCATATTACCAGTGCGTAATTAAGTCAATCATACCAATACAAAATGGTCATTTTGCTCACCAGAGTTGTATATAAAGTGATGGTCCTGGTATAGCGTTTTATTTATTATAGTTGTTTCTGTCCCTAGGTCTCCAAATTAAGAACTTATAAAACTTGTAAAGAACACAAGCTTAAAGTTTCTAAATTTGCTCGTAAGGAATTTTGTTCTAGAGACTGAGTTTACAATATTCTGGAAAAAAATTATCAATCAGCAAGTTATATATACATGTATTGTTAGATATTGGGGGGGGGGGGGGGATTACACATTTGTTATTTCAACATCCGTACTTTAAAAGACGACACTGCAGAATATTTACATTCACTGAATATTTTCTCTTTTATTTATTAAGAAAACCATTGTCGTTTATCAGTCAGTAAACACCGCTTAGCATATCACCCGTACATGCAGATTTCTTGAGCAACGGCTGTTTCATCAATTAAACGCACAATGATGTACATAAAAATTATCAATAATACAATATTTAATCTATCTAATCCTGCTCTAGATGATTATTTGTACAGATATGAATATAAACAATGAAATGTCTTTCTTTGTTTGTTAGTATTGGAATTAATTTTGCGGCTATTACACTAGTGTAGAAGATGAATGCCACTTTTTGCTTCATTGTACATCATATTCAAATTTTAGAGCAATCTTTTTTTACCAGTATTGGATTTAAACCAACTTCATTTGATATCAATATGTCAGATTAAGACAAAACCAAATTTCTTTTAGTAAATTTCCAAAGACAAATCGGAAAATTCATATACTCAGCATATACTTACATACAGTCTATTATTTATAATAAACGCAATGCGTAATATCACAGTATTCTTATTGAATGTTATATCGTTAAAAGTGACATATAGGCCCGATGGGCCGGGTGTTTAAATTCCTATTATATGTATATTTGTTGACAGTTGTTGTAATTGTATATAACACATGTTACTATAATATACCATTTACTTACTTACTTACAGGAAAAATTACATAACCTTAACGCGGGTTGTGTATTTTTTTTTTTTTTTTTTTTTTTTTTTTTTTTTTGCAACAGCTCAACATTAATTTGCATACTAACAACCAAAGAAAGCCTTTTATTGTTTAAATGAACTTTCCTATTGTAGTTCCATCTGCATATTATACATTCACCAAGACGGTTGAAATTTGCCAAATTAAGTACCTATGATTTAGAAAACATGCGGTCAGTCATTGTAACTAAAGTAACCAAAATTTTTAAAATGCTAACAAAAATGACTTCGAGTTCACAAATTAAAGTAATGTGTATTTACCCATGGTATTTCTTCAAGTTCATCCTTATATATTTGGGAAAATTAATAATTCTCGAATAATTTTTCAGGAAACGTGACTGAAAGCACCAATTATGCATTTTCTAACTGAAAATTGTTCAACAAATATTTTTATAAATTCTATTTCTTATTTTTTCCAATACACTGATAAGAAACGGGTAGATCAAGGAAAATTCCAGGCAGAAAGCAGAATATAACTGCTATCAAAACACAATTTATATCTAATTATCAAATGAGTGCAAAACGGTCTTCGGAGACCAAAGGACAAGTGCACTTAAGCAATGCTTAATGGACCCTTTTTCAGTGCCGTTTTACTTTAGAATATATTACCAAATTGTTCTTTTTTGGTAATAGTTAAACAAAAGTGGATATTTCTAATTAAAATCACGTTAAAACATCACCTAAATCAGCATGGATTTGAAACAAATAAAGATTGTTAAATGCCTATATAGATACCCCAAATCCGGAAAAGTCGTGCCGAACCTATTTTGAGTTTCGTTTATTTATATCAAGGGGAGGAGACATTTGAATCGGACACCTGAATCTGATGGTGGATCATTGACGGGCACGTTTTCCGAATGATACCTCTTGCGCTATTTTACCTGAGGAAAAAAAATCGAATGAAGTTGTATAGATGCCTGTAGCCATAGTGATCAAACTAAGAAATTTGCACGCTTGCATTTGATATAATACAATAAGTATTAGCATTTACGAAAGCTTATTAGGATCAAACTACGGTAAAAAAAAATTTAAAAGGCGTTATAACGCCTTTTCAAAAAGCGTTATAACGCGAAAAAAGGCGTAATAACGCCTTTTGAAAAGGCGTAATAACGCGGAAAAAGGCGTAATAACGCAAATAAAGGCGTAATTACGCCTTTCCAAAAGGCGTTATTACGCCTTTCTAAAAGGCGTTATTACGCCTTTCCAAAAGGCGTTATTACGCCTTTCCAAAAGGCGTTATTACGCCTTTCTAAAAGGCGTTATTACGCCTTTTAAAAAGGCGTAATTACGCCTTTCCAAAAGGCGTTATTACGCCTTTCTAAAAGGCGTTATTACGCCTTTCCAAAAGGCGTTATTACGCCTTTCCAAAAGGCGTAATAACGCCTTTCCAAAGACGTTATTACGCCTTTTAAAAAGACGTAATTACGCCTTTCCAAAAGGCGTTATTACGCCTTTCTAAAAGGCGTTATTACGCCTTTCCAAAAGGCGTTATTACGCCTTTCCAAAAGGCGTAATAACGCCTTTCCAAAAGGCGTTATTACGCCTTTCCAAAAGGCGTTATTACGCCTTTCTAAAAGGCGTTATTACGCCTTTTAAAAAGGCGTTATTACGCCTTTCCAAAAGGCGTTATTACGCCTTTCTAAAAGGCGTTATTACGCCTTTCTTAAAGGCGTTATTACGCCTTTCCAAAAGGCGTTATTACGCCTTTTAAAAAGGCGTTATTACGCCTTTCCAAAAGGCGTTATTACGCCTTTTAAAATGGCGTTATTACGCCTTTTAAAAAGGCGTTATTACGCCTCTTTTTTTTCAATACATGACTTACTTAGCCCACCCTGGGGGCTGATTATAATTAGATTTCTAGGAAAAAAGATTTTTAAATGTGTATAAAATATTTTCAGTGTTAAACCAACTTAGTCCTTCTCTGATGCCAGACGCTTCTACCAAGGTGTATGGATTTCAGAAATTTTGTTGAAGGCTAATTGCTCATTATACCTATGCAAATACTTTGCATGTTTTTTACCAAGAGGAGAGAAAAATATTTCAAATTTGACATGAATTTTTAATACGTGGCTAGCAAAGCCCAAAGCTGGTTCTGCCTATATCCTGGATTTTCAAAAGTAGAGTGTTGACTTCTCTTAATATGCATGCAAAATGCAAACAACTGCCTGCGAGATGTGCAGGAATATAGAAAATACTATAATTTTTAATATAATTTATAATATTAAAACTATAATCTAAATATTGCATAAATAAAGATGGCTTTGGTTCAATCTTTCATATATTTACTATTCTAAAATAACGCCTTTCCATTTTTGGATACAACTCCTTTTCAAACAGGCCGGGAGTACGAATGTGAGTGGGGGGCGGGGGGTCCCCACCCCACTTTTTGGGAGAATAGTCTTGCTATAGTTTAAATATAAAAAAATCATTTATTGATTGCTTGGTCCCTTAACATTTTGTTGCAGTATGGTTAAACTCGGGCAAGTCATTGCATTTAAAAAAGTTTTACCGAAAAATTAGAAAAAGTTTCCCCTCAAGTTTAGGCAGTTTATTTTTTTTTCGGGGGGGGGGGGGGGGGTTCTTGTTTTTTTTTGTTTGCTTGTCAATTTTATGGGACCCCCCCCCCCCCACTTTAAAAGCACGGGCCTGTCAAAGACATGATAATGGCCCTTCAAAAGGCATAATAACGCCTTTTTGAAATGCGTATTAATGCCTTTTAAAAAGGCGTAATAACGCCTTTTGAAAAGGCGTAATAACGCCTTTTTCAAAGGCGTAATAACGCCTTTTGGAAAGACGTAATAAAGCCTTTTGGAAAGGCGTAATAACGCCTTTTGGAAAGGCGTAATAACGCCTTTTGGAAAGGCGAAATAACACCTTTTAGAAAGGCGTAATAACGCCTTTTTTCGCGTTATAACGCCTTTTTAAAAGGCGTTATAACGCCTTTTAAATTTTTTTTACCGTAGTTTGATCCTAATAGGCTCTCGTAAGCATTAGTTCCTTTGAATTTTAAAATGAAAAGAAGTGTATTTAGGTGGCTTCAATACCGGTACCACTGTCTTGCATGAATGTTAAAAATGTTTAATTGACGCTTTTATGTATGATGATATTTTAACGACACTAAACTCTCCTAACCCTCCCGTGTTCATAAAACCAAATATATACAAACTCCTCTATGCGGCACGACTTCGATATAATGATACAAAACGTGGCTATCTTTTACAGTGAGCACTTTGAGGAATGTTTACCTGGGTAGAACTCACGTGACTACCGGTATTTTAAATAATTTATTCCACGGGTTGGTTCAACAAAAGTCATACAGGTAAATAGCTCTCGCTTGCTATAGGAAAAACATTGAACTTTTCATACATTTTTAATATTTTAAGTACAAGCCTAATCGTGTACAAATTTCCTACTTTCACACAAGGTTTATAAATGTATAATGCGTTTTTTGTCATTCGCACAAGTTTGTACTACGTTAGGCTGACAGTAAACAAAAGCTTTGAAATGAATGACCGTCCTCGATTTACTATAGAAAATCACGAATGTCGGCTGACCCCTACCACTTTGTATGGCTTTGCTCTTTGTATATTCATGAATTTCACCAATAAAAATTGATGAATCTTATGGTTTAGATATCAATTAATGATCTGAGATGAAAAATTATGCTTAATTTGATTCTTCATTTTTTCACATTTTACCGGGGCCCATAAGTGCACTCGTTCTTTTCCAACAAACTGTTGGCATTTCGATGGGCACTAATTGTGTGGGGACACACCTATAGTCAGTAGTTAATTAATAATTAAATTAAACAGTTCAGATCATTTATTTATACAATACTTTCATTCTTACAGTTTAGATTCAGTAAGACGTTTGGGGGAAGCAGAGACATAAATAAATGGACAGGCGTCGGAAGCAAATTAAAAGGGTTTTTTTTAGGGGGGGGGCTAAATCAACAAAAAAGGTAAGTCCCAATTTTCAATGCCTATATCATGTCTATCTTTGCTAAAAAAAAAACAAAAAAAAACAACAACAAAAAAAAAAACAAAGGGGGGGGGGTATGTATAACTGGACAGTATTTTTTTTCCACTAATGATAACGATGCAAATTATAAAATTACCCATTATTATACAAGTAGTTACAGACTTTTGGAAGTTCGAAAGAGTTTTACTTTTTTAAAATTTAAAAATATACGTAAAAGACAATTTAAAAAAAAACAAATAAGAAAGAAATTAAAAGTACATGCAAGGATGAAAACTTGGCAATACAGTGTAAAAAAAAAAAAGGTAGGGAAGTTTAGAAGAAAAACATCAACAGAGTTACATTCACATTATAGCAATAGATCTAATATCCAATTTTTTAAAGCAGAATTAAGACATTTCCAAGTTTCGTGAACTAACATGATGATCTTATCAAGAATAAAAATTTGGCGCGAAAATTGTGAACGAATCAATGTGCCTATTTACATGTTCTATTACGCGTACTCATATACGCCACAGAAAATATTTGATGTGTGACATATGCCTCCGTTTTTGTAAAAAACACATAATTTAGTTAAACGCTAAATAAAAAGTCTATTCGTTGTGTAATTAATTATAAAACGAGAGTTTTCATCAATACGCAACTGTAAAATATATTTATCATACAGAAAATGTGATTAGTTGAAAGATTATATATCCGCCCCTTTTTTGCAAATTCCACCAATGAAAATTTTTGTTGTATGGAGACTCGTGATCATACCCTCTCCTCCGCCATTTTGAATTCGTCCGCATTGCACATGGAGTACCGGTCCAGTAGAAAGGAACTGTTGTAGTTTATATATCGACATTAAATTGCCTTTCCAGTCAAGTGTATGCGGACAGAATGGATCTATTGAGTGTACTTGAGAAGACAGTCTCACCAGGTATTTTTTAGAACAAATACAAAGTAGGAAAAAGACCCGAACCATAAATGACACATTTCATAAAAAAGTGATGATCATTACAAATTTTCGACGAATGAATCATTATATCATCTGATTATTGAAATATTTTTTTATTGTAGACCAACAGGAGTTAGAAGCAGCACAACGATTTCTAGAACAGGCCGCACAGAGTAATTTAGTAAGTGATGTAGTTTTGGTTTTGACCTCGCTCAACAAGGGTAAATGCACGTGTAAATCTGTTTGGTTTTTAATTTTTAAAAGCCATAAGAATATAAGGTTTTTAGATTTTTTAAAGAATTGCCATGGATTAAGTTATTTTATGGAGTAATTATTTTGTTCCAGCCTTCAAAATGACCCACAAGATTTCATTCTTCTCAGAATATGTTTTCTTGCTTGCAGTCACCCCTCCCTGATAATAATAACTCAAAGGTGGGATGTGATGGGATGTATCAGATATGATCCTTATTGTTTTGAAGGAATACTGAAATAAATGCAAAATACACTTTGTAATTATGATGAATGAATGTTCCTTCCACCTCTATCCCAAAATGAAAGCTATAACACATTTTCTTAAATCTTATCTTGCTGCATATATTTATTCATAATATGAAGATATTTGTACTTATGTGGTGTGGATATACACATTATATTAGTCTACATTGTTAGTGCTATGTTCTGTTACAGGTATAGACATTGACACTTGTTAGCCAGTCAGGGGTGAGACTGAAATCTGTCATTTTTGAAAAATGATGGATAATCGTCATATTTACTAACTACGTATTTTCGTCATTTTTGTCAATATGACTTACTATCGTCATATTTTCTTTTTCAACTTAATTCTTCTATCCTGGTTACATAAAAGCGAAATTTGAATTCACCGCTGAAAGAAGAGTGTTTACACAAGTTTCATTTCATCCGGGTCACTAATTACTGCCGACCACGTGCGTTAGAACATCAACATGGAAGGTGAAAGTTATTATTTAGCGGTAAAATGTCGAATTTTGGTAGAACTAATTCGCCATTTTTACATGGCTTTTAGCCCTATAAAAACATATAGTACACCGTCTGGAAGAATACGTACTTGTAGAGAAAAGTCTCGACAAAGAGTTAAAGCATAAAAAAGTAGTGCGCCCCATGAAACAAGCGAGATATTTCAATGCGCCCAGACCCTCCATTTTGAAAAAAGACGGAATATCGTCATTTTCGTCTTCTTTCCTATTTAATGCAAATAAATTGACAAATAACTCTTCCACTCTTATTTTTGCTTGGGAAATTTATACTGTCAACATAACCGGTATTGTAGTCAACTGTATTAGAGAAATGAAGTTCGTTTACGATGTTTTTTGTCCTTTTTTCAGTTGGTGGATCTAACATTTTTCAAAGAGAGGTAACTCGGTATTCTAGAAACACTCTAAATTTTTATGACTGTTTTTCGTCATTTTCTTAAAAATGACGAGTTTAAGTCATAATAAAAATTTAATTTTATGGCTTGAAATCGTCATTTTAAAAATGACGGATTTCAGTCTTACCCCTGACTGTTAGCTTGTCTAGTACCAATGAAAATTTTTCACAGACAAGTGAATGTTGCTGGGCACTTGTCTTCTTGGATAAGTGACTTTTTTCTGTGGAAGAAAATTTGTTTAAAAAGTTGAAAATAAAAAGCTTAAAGCTGTCATCATCTTTTTATTTTAAAAATGTCAGTGTCAAGCCCTTTGTGATTACACAAGATGAATGCTTTCGCTAAATTGATTCTTTTGGAAAAATCCATGTTGGAGAAAATTTATGTCTCCAATTTGAATAACAGAAAGTTCATGGTAAAGAAAAACTTTGTAAAGTATGAGCATCAGTTTCAAAGATGGAGCTCTTGTCACCTTATCAACCAATGATTCCTCTCCCCGACCCAGTTGAACTTGCTTGAATGTAACTTGCTAGCTATCTGTTATAAAATTCATTTATTAAAAGTGAGAAAATACACCTAAACTTGAAATCTGCTTGCCATACAAAACCTTAATATTCAATATTGGGGAGAGAGCTACCTAAGGTATTGGAACTTAAGTCCAATCCCATTGACACATTGTCAATATATTCAAAACAATTCAATGGAGATTTGTTACGTACAGTTTGAAATTTAGATATGATTATTTCTAGAAAAGAAATATTGAATTTATTGAGAAAAATAATTAGTGTATTTCATTTTCATTCTTTTTAGCAAGAATTTTTGAAATCCCTCTCAGAAATTTTAAAGCATGGAGGCAACAGTCCTGTCACACGAATGCAGGCTGGGTTACAGTTGAAAAATGCTCTCTACTCAAAAGATCCGAACATCAAGGCAGAATACCAACAAAGATGGCTGTCATTTCCAGAAGATGTCAGAAACATGGTGAAAGCAAATGTAAGTTCCTTTATGATCATTTTTATGAGGACACTCTATTTTGGCTTTGTTTAAGTTTACAAGAGTTCTGTGTCTTATTTCAACTATGTTTGAATTGTTTCTACTGAAATTTATTTGTATTTTAGATTTTGGCTGCATTGGGAACAGAAACAATCCGTCCAAGTTCAGCGGCCCAATGTGTGGCTTATGTAGCATGTGCCGAACTTCCTGCCGGTTTGTGGCCCGACTTAATAGCTGTATTGACCAGCAATGTGACCAACCAGAATAGTACTGAGATGATGAAGGAAGCAACATTAGAGGCCATTGGCTACATTTGCCAAGACATTGTAAGATTTAGAGCATTGTAATGACTTATGAACAGGTCTGCTCAAACAGATATTACAATGAAAAAAACATATTATTTTAAGTTTGTTTCTGGGTTTTGAAATAAATTGTTTTGATTTATAGGATCCAGAGATTTTACAGAGCCAGTCCAATGAAATTCTTACAGCTATTGTTCATGGAATGAAGAAGGAAGAACCTAGGTAATTATTAGTTTAATAAAATGTCTTTTTCATGTAAATTAGTTAAAATTGATATGAATTAAATCTTTATTATTACATTCTTTTCAAACTGATCTACAATTCCACTGATTTTTATTTTTTATTTTAGCAACCATGTGAGATTTGCAGCTACAAATGCATTATTGAACTCCTTAGAATTTACAAAAGCCAATTTTGACAAAGAGGTAAATTTATTCAGATTGGTCATATTTACATGGATTGGTAAAAATGTATATATTTTTTTAATTGTTTCTTTAATGAACAACAAAAGCAAATAAAATATATTGTTTTTGTAGACAGAAAGACATTTCATCATGCAAGTTGTATGTGAAGCAACCCAATCACCAGACACAAGGGTGAGGAATTTAACTTGGATAAAAGCATCAAGATTTTAACTGTAAAAAAAAGATTATAGTTGAACAGGATATATCTTTACAATAGATATAGATATACAAATCAGTTCATATAAGTATTTTACTATTTCCCTATTTAAATGTAAATTCTTTTGTGTCTTCCTGTTACAGGTTAGAGTTGCAGCTTTGCAGTGTATGGTGAAGATTATGTCCCTTTATTACATGTATATGGAACACTACATGGGTCCAGCACTTTTTGCAGTGAGTAGTATACATTTTCCGTTTTCTTAAGACACCACTTTTTAAATGTCAGACCCTCCTCAAAGGGGGGAAAAAGATGAAGCTTTCAAGTAAAAGTCATTTTAAAAAAAATGTTGATCGTTGAAAGTCTGCCTTGGTTTATAGATAACAATGGAAGCCATGAAGAGTGATGTAGATGAAATTGCCCTCCAGGGAATTGAATTCTGGTCCACTGTTTGTGATGAAGAAGTAGACTTAGCCATTGAACTGTCAGAGGTATTCAAAATTTACTAATGTAACAGAATTGCTTTATGTGTCTTTGAAAATTTCAAAGTCAACTGATATGCAATGTGATATGTAATGTAATGTAATGAAATAGCATTTTAAAAAGGATGTCACAGGCTCAGATTAGTATTTATGTTCAAGTTTCTGGTACAGCTGGATATTTTATGTGTATTTTCAAATTGTTCTAGATAACAATTTTTTAAAATCAATCTTGCCTTTAAAAAATAGATTTTAAATAAAAATGAATTGAAAATAAGGTGTGATTTCTAATCACTTAAACCTAAAGACCAGGAAGAGTGTTTATAAATTGATAAAGCAACTAATTATCCATAGAAATGCACATAGGCATTTAATAATAATGGAGATTGTGATGGGATCAAACTAGGGATTCTAAGATGTTCTTGAGATTATAGAGGAAATGGTATGCTTTACAAGAAAGACCCTAGTCCTAAAGAAAAAAAGTTTTGGGGGTTTACATGGTGTTAGGACTACTGAAGTAGGTGTTTACATCATTTCATATGCATTGATTATCAAGTTGGTCATTATGTTTTTTTTTTTTGGCAGGCTGCTGAGCAAGGAAGACCGCCAGAAAGAACTAGTCGTTTCTACGCTAAAGGCGCTCTGCAGTATTTATGTCCTATCTTGTTACACAGCCTGACAAAGCAGGTAATGCATGTACGTATTCAGCTCACCACCTGTTTATACTAATGCCAGATATTGCTACCAGGTACGTGATACTAAACAGGAAGAGTATCATTTGTTATATATATTATTGTAACCTGGAAGTTTAATACAGTTTTAATTTCAGTCTAACATGAAATTTATTTATAACTTGGGAATACTTGATTTTATATATGCCTTTATTTGATAAATATAATATTAATCATTATCCTTACAGTTTACACTAATTTGCTTGACTGTTCATTTTTTTCTGTTAACAGTAACATGCAATATTTTTGGTGTTATTTTTTTTTCTGTTAATAGTAACATGCAATATTTTAATATTAACCTGTTGTTAAGTAGGATTTTTTTTACAATCATATTAAGCACCTGCTCCCCCTCGATATTTACTCAGATGCTTAAATTCACCAACCAGTATTCATTAAAGTAGGAGAGAGAAAACCAGAAAAAAAATATCAAAAATTTGAATATTAATTTTAAAAACTTTACAATTTAAATGTTGATGCAGGAGGAGGTTGATGATGATGACGAATGGAACCCATGTAAGGCTGCTGGGGTCTGTCTGATGCTGATGGCCACAGGATGTGAAGATGATATTGTACCCCACATCTTGCCGTTCGTGAAAGACAACATCCACAATCAAGACTGGCGCTTCAGAGATGCTGCTGTCATGGCTTTTGGTTTGTTGAATTTATTTGTTGAATAAGTTTCAGACAGTCGGTTAATACCTTTTAGAGAAATTATCTGTAAGAGCAGCATTAATATATAAAGACATTCTGGGAAAGGGGGGTATAAAGCTGAGCCAAATGACTCAATTGAGCTTTTGTAATCAGATAGTATTCTGCTTTTTTTTCTCTGTAAAATTCTTAACTGTGGAAAACTATTAGCATCCTCAAAAGAAAATACATAGAACAGAGAATATTGAAATGATCAGCATTCTAATAAATGTGCTTTCAGGTTCAATTTTAGAGGGTCCTGATCCAGTGAAACTGAAGCCAATAGTAGAACAAGCCATGCCCATGTTAATCGAGTTATTGAAGGACTCCAGTGTGGTGGTGAGGGACACGGCAGCCTGGACTGTTGGGAGGGTCTGTGAAATCTTACCTGATGCTGTCATCACTGAGCAGTGTTTACAGCCTCTACTACAAGCCATGGTGGAGGGCCTAGCTGCTGAGCCCAGGGTTGCCAGTAATATATGTTGGGTAGGTGTTGTACTGTGTTGCAGGGAGAATTGAATTTTTGTATGTTTTTTATATACATGTATGTAATTGTGTTATTTTTGCTTATTTGATGTGTGTACAGACAAAGGACTGCTAACAATCCCTGAGATGTGTAAACTACATGAACCTGAGTGCATTTAATATTTAATGGATAAAGTACCCAGTGCAGAGTTCAAGTACTGAGCTTAAGAACTTAATCACTTATCTGTGTAAAGAGCTTTTGATGAATGCATGTATTGTAGGGAATGTACATTCAGGAATTCAGAAGTTTGTAAATTGTTAATAAAAAGTTTAATGAGAGTTAGAAGTTGATGAAACATAGTTTTCTTTTTTTAGGCATTTTCCAGTTTAGCAGAGGCTGCTTATGATAGTGCAGACACTGGAGATGAGAATTCTGAGCCAGCCACTTACTGTTTATCTACGTATTTTGAACCTATTATAGAAAAACTCATTCAAACTACAGATAGGTATGGTTTTGATTTGATTCATTTAAACATTAACATCATGGACATTTTCAAAATTGACAATTCTCTTTGTGATTGCTACAGCTTTAATTGAGTAATTATGTTCCCCAAACGAAGTTTGGGAACATATTGTTTTTACTCGGTTTCTTATTATTATTATTATTATTATTATTCTTTTTAGCTCACCTGAGCTGAAAGCTCAAGTGAGCTTTTCTGATCACATTTTGTCTGTAGTCCGTCTGTCCGTCTGTCTGTAAACTTTTCACATTTTCGACTTCTTCTCCAGAACCACTGGGCCAATTTCAACCAAACTTGCCACAAAGCATCCTTGGGTGAAGGGGATTCAAGTTTGTTCAAATGAAGGGCCACGCCTTCTTTCAAGGGGAGATAATTAAGAATTAGTGAAAAATTAATAGCATCTTTAAAAAATCTTCTTCTCCAGAACCACAGGGCCAGGAAAGATGAAACTCATATGGAAGCATCCCCAGGTAGTGTAGATTCAAGTTTGTTCAAATCATGACCCCCGGGGGTAGGGCGGGGCCACAATGGAGGATCAAAGTTTTACATAGAAATATATAGGAAAAATCTTTAAAAATCTTCTTCTCAAGAACAGTAAAGCCATGAAGAGTCATATTTATATGGAAGCATCCCCAGGTAGTGTAGATTCAAGTTTGTTCAAATCATGACCCCCGGGGGTAGGGCGGGGCCACAATGGAGGATCAAAGTTTTACATAGAAATATATAGGAAAAATCTTTAAAAATCTTCTTCTCAAGAACAGTAAAGCCATGAAGAGTCATATTTATATGGAAGCATCCTCAGGCAGTGTAGATTCAAGTTTGTTCAAATCATGACCCCCGGGGGTAGGGCGGGGCCACAATGGAGGATCAAAGTTTTACATAGAAATATATAGGAAAAATCTTTAAAAATCTTCTTCTCAAGAACAGTAAAGCCATGAAGAGTCATATTTATATGGAAGCATCCTCAGGAAGTGTAGATTCAAATTTGTTCAAATGATGACCCCCGGGGGTAGGGCGGGGCCACAATGGAGGATCCAAATTTTACATAGAAATATATAGGAAAAATCTTTAAAAATCTTCTTCTCAAGAACAGTAAAGCCATGAAGAGTCATATTTATATGGAAGCATCCTCAGGAAGTGTAGATTCAATTTTGTTCAAATCATGACCCCTGGGGGTAGGGCGGGGCCACAATGGAGGATCCAAATTTTACATAGAAATATATAGGAAAAATCTTTAAAAATCTTCTTCTCAAGAACAGTAAAGCCATGAAGAGTCATATTTATACGGAAGCATCCTCAGGTAGTGTAGATTCAAGTTTGTTCAAATGATGACCCCCGGGGGTAGGGCGGGGCCACAATGGAGGATCCAAATTTTACTTAGAATTATATAGGAAAAATCTTTAAAAATCTTCTTTTCAAGAACAGTGAAGCCATGAAGAGTCATATTTATATGGAAGCATCCTCAGGTAGTGTAGATTCATGTTTGTTCAAATGATGACCCCCGGGGGTAGGGCGGGGCCACAATGAAGGATCAAAGTTTTACATAGAAATATATAGGAAAAATCTTCTTCTCAAGAACAGCAAAGCCATGATGAGTCAAATTTATATGGAAGCATCCTCAGGTAGTGTAGATTCAATTTTGTTCAAATGATGACCCCCGGGGGTAGGGTGGGGCCCAAAGGGGGATCGAAAGTTTTACATAAGAACATATAGAAAAAAAAATTTCTTCTCAAGAACAGAAAAGCTATGTTAGTCTTATTGATATTGAAGCATCCTCGGGTAATGTAGATTCAAGTTTGTTCAAATGATGACCCCTGAGATGGGGAGGAGCTACAATGGGGGATCAAATTTTTACAAAGGAATAAATGGGAAAATTTTTTTAAAATCTTCTCAAGTACAACAAATTCATTTGTTATATTGACATGAAAGCATCATCAGGTAGTTTAAAATTCAAGCCCCCCCCCCCCCCCCCCCCCCCCCCGTTCATTACTGAACTGATTTGTGCCTTAGTCTAGCCAGTGTGCTCAGGTGAGCGATGTGGCCCATGGGCCTCTTGTTTATTCTTATTTCTTCTCCGGTACTTTTTTGTCCGCGAGTGTTCTCGAAAACTGCACATCCAATTGAGTTAAAACCTTTTTAGGGTTACTAGGTATGTTATGTAGATTTGCGGAACGAAGGTCATTTTGCGCGCACGTGCATGCACGTGAGTGCGCGTGCAATGCGTAAAATGACCAATATACATGATATAGCTGTAACTTTTATATTTTTTGATGAAATGCTTTGATACTCAGAATATAAGGATATATTAAAAGTGTAGACAAGATGACATGGTCAACATGCACATGCACGCACGTGCGCGCACGCGCAAATCGTAAAATGACCAATTTACTTGATATAGTCGTAACTTTTATATTTTTTGATGAAATGATTTGATACTCAAAATATATTAAAAGTGTAGACAAGATGACATGGTCATCATGCACATGCATGCATATGCATGCACGTGCGCGCGCGTGCAATGTGTTATATGACCAATATATTTAATATAGTCGTAATTTTTATATTTTTTGATGAAAAGCTTTGGTATTAAGAATATACAGATATATTAAAAGTGTAGACAAGATGATGTGGACATCATGCACATGCATGCACATGCGCGCGCGTGCAATGTGTTAAATGACCAATATACTTAATATAGCCGTAACTTTTATATTTTTTGATGAAAAGCTGTGATACTAAGAATAAACAGACATATTATAAGTGTAGACAAGATGGCATGGTCATTATGAACATGCATGCTGGTGCGCGTGTGCGCAATGCTAAGATGACCAGTATACTTGATATAGCCGGAACTTATATATTTTTGATAAAATGTTTTGATACTGAGAATATAAAGATACATTAATAGTATAGATGGGATGACATGGTCATACTGCACATGCATGCACGTGCGCGCGCGTGAAATGCAAAAAACGACAAATATACTTCATTGCCTTATTTAATGAAGCTTACAGGAAATAAGACACCAAAAGGGAGTTGGGGAGCGTTTGGGGAACATCTGTAACGGTCCCCGTTACAATTATAACTAGTTTGACTTGACATTGCATGATTTTTTTTCCCTACCTAGATCTGATGGTAACCAACATAACCTAAGAAATGCAGCATATGAAGCCTTAATGGAAATGATTAAAAACAGTCCTAAGGTTGGTAGTTTGTACATTTGTTTGATGCTTGTTTGCTTTTCAAGCAGTTAAATTTGCAGCCTCTTTTATTGATGTTGATCTTTCTTATTTTAGGACTGCTATGCCATTGTCCAAAAAACAACAGTAGTCGTGTTAGAAAAATTGGAGAGAGTACTGCAGATGGAGGTAAAAATCCTTCACTTAGTCATTTAAATGATTCTTGGGAAAGTTAAATGATTTGGTATAGCACTGTGGAAATGTATTTTTCTGAAGTTAAAACCTTTGTTAATTATTTTCTTTCAGAATATGATTCAAGTTTCTACAGATCGGGCCCAATATAATGATCTACAATCCCTGCTGTGTGCAACATTACAGGTATGTGCTTTTACCAAAATATTACCCTTTCGTGAGAAAGGTGTTTAAGATATGTTAATATTTACTTGTATTTTGAGTAAATGTCATTTCCATGGTAGTTGAAATGTAACACTGTATTAGCATTTCAATGGATTTGAAGCTCTTATTTAATTAATATAGAAATGTTTATGAAAATGTAAACCTATTGGATTCTTTTCAGAGTGTTCTCAGGAAAGTTGCCCCTGAGGATGCCCCCAGCATTTCGGACCAGGTGATGAGTGCTTTGTTGCGTATGTTCACAACCTCTGGTAAAGCAGGAGGTGTACAAGAGGATGCTCTTCTTGCTGTGTCCACTCTAGTTGAAGGTACAATTATCACCCACCTACAATGTCTTTGTTTTAATTCCAATTGAATTTGCGGTGTTATCATTGCATTGTGTATGCTGGCCTGCAGACTACTCACTGTAAAATTACTGCATTAGTAAATGGTGTAACATTCAGTGAAGAGAAGATTTAAAAAATATACATGTGTCTTTCTTTATTTCAGTTCTGGGAGACAATTTTATGAAGTATATGGAAGCATTTAAACCATGTTTGATTGTTAGCTTGAAAAATTCCGAAGAACATTCAGTAAGTATGTCTTTGAACTTGGGCATTGAAAGAATAACGGAGTTTTTTTTTATCTAGAGGTGAAAATCAATGTCTACTAAAATGAATTTGGTTTTCGTTCTCAGGTGTGTTTAGCAGCTGTAGGACTAGTAGGAGATTTATGTCGAGCTCTAGGACAAAAGATGTTACCGTACTGTGATGAAATAATGGTGTTATTGTTGGAAAATTTAGGGGTAATTGGCTGGGATATATCATTCTTTCGCTGTTTGATATCCAAAGCATTTGATATAAAATTATTATTTTCATTTTCACATATTCATTGCATTCTGAAGTAAAATAATTTTCTGTAATAAATATGTTTCCATTCAGAATTCCACTGTGCATAGATCTGTAAAACCTCAGATCTTATCTGTGTTTGGTGACATTGCATTGGCCATAGGACCTCAATTTAAGAAATACCTGGACATAGTCATGAGTACTCTACAACAGGCATCCCAGGCACAGGTGGAAAAGGTAAGAATTTTTCCAAAGGTATCTTGTAAGATATGGATTTCATCTTGTTTGAAGCTCATTGATGCCCAGACTTGGCCCAAATTTTGTCAAATGTTATTTAATTCTTTCTGATTTTTTTTTCTTCCAGACTGACTATGATATGATTGATTACCTGAATGAACTAAGAGAAGGTTGTCTAGAAGCTTACACAGGAATTGTACAGGGCTTAAAGGGAGATGGGGAACAACCAAATGGTGAGTTTATTAACAGATAACATTTTATTTTTGAAAAAATACAAATGGCATTACTAATGCATCACAACCCCCCCCCCCCCCCCACAACCCCCCCTTGGAAAAAAAGAGAAAAGAACGGAAAATTACTGTATCTGACAAAAACTCTCTGACACTAGGTCTTTGTATGTATCATGTAACTTACCCTCTTAAAGAGATAAGTAACATATAATTTCTTTTAAGTAGATAAGCTCCTACAAATAGTAAGACATTTCACTATTGTTGCAACGATCTAAGAATTTTGTAATCTTTTTTAATAATCAGTTATACTTGCATAATTCAATTTTATATTGCAGCTGATGTGAATTTAGTACAACCCCATGTTGGTCATATAATGTCCTTTATAGAACACATAGCATTGGATGAGGATCATTCAGATGAAAATATATCAGCCTGTTGTGGTCTTATTGGGTAAGGTGACTTGTACCGTAATTTTTGGGATATATGTCGATGGGGTATATAGGTCGAAAGGATCATTTTCAGCCATAATTTTTAAAAAATCCTTAGATAGGACAAATTTGGAAGATAGGACGAGGCTTTGTTTATCGATTTTCTAGAGATTCTTATGTAGATACAACTGTACTATGTATCGGAACATGTATACCTCTTTTAATTTAAATATTAACGTATTGAGAAAATAAACTGGTATTTTTATGAGTACAGCATTTTAATAGTGTTTATACAAACATAGTTAAAACTTCCTTGAATTGTGATATAACGTTTTCTCCAACTTGCCTGTTCAATGCTGTTGTAGTTTGACTCTGGTGTTAAACACAAAAATACGGTAGTATACAAAAGCGATAATTAGAGTAATACCCGAAATCAAACAATAATCATTTCCATGTAGAACGTCGTGGACAGATTCCTTTATTCCGACATTATTACCAGGGTACAATATTAACTTCGATGACCGCCATTTTTTATATTTCTTGTCCAGGGATTTGCTAAAACATACAAATGACTATTACATGTAACAGTGAGCAATTGAAATTAATCATATTAACATGCTATAATTTTGCTTGAGATATTGTTGTAACAAATAAATTGAATTGAGAGTACGAGGGGTTATCAAAAAGTTCGTGGACTGACGCGATAAAATTAATAATATGTAGTCTTTGCTTACAAAATTTATGCGGAACATAAAACAACAAAAGTTTAAGAATTATTGAAAATTTTAGCTTGATACGTTGATAATTTGCCAAATTATTCTAAAATTAAAAAGACTTTATGTGATCATCCGGCGCTGTCGCCGTTTAGTGTCATGACGTCCGTTTAACGTCATTGTTTCTTAATGTCCGCTCTCTCTACCTCATACATTTATCTTGATGAGATTACCTGGAGTTAAGTAAGGACTTAAACCCGTCTTATTTATATGAATTTACAATGTCATGAGCAGTTGTTTTCAATGCATATAATATTGTAAACGGATCTTTATGTGGGGAAAGATCCTCACTTGATTATGCCAGAATACTTAGCTTGTTGGAGTTCAATTTCTACCACACATGATCAAAGTCACTTTTCGACGTGACTGACTTTTGACACCCTGACTACAAATCGACACTAACTGTGCATATTTCATCTCTCTGAATCTTTTTGGGCATTAAAAAACAAGTACTCTGGATGCATTTTATTTTTCTGTAGCCAGTTTAAACATTCCTTAGGTCAATACCAGTTTTTCCAGGAGCGAAACTCTATAGAGTGTTTGAAAAAGAAACCTCTCACCCTTTTTGACGTTATTTTCAAGCCCATAATTGTTTGAACACTCCATATAAAATTTACGATAAAATTTCATAGAAATTACAGAATGGGGTAAAAATTGCAAATTTTACTGAACAAATGTGTCGTACCACATGCCTGAATTAACGAGATTATTTGATGACAAATACTCATATCTAAAGAGTTTTTCTCAGTTACACTCAGGTAGAAAAAACGTCATATTAGAGGTTGCGCCGCCTGGACATACCTTTGCTTAAAAAAACACTAACAATTTATTAAAAAATAAAAATTATGATTTATGGTTTATTCTATAGATAGAAAAGATGATGCTTACTAAATGTGTAAAAATTCATTGGTGTACCTAAAGCGGTTTTTATTTTATGACGCTAGTCCACGAACTTTTTGATAACCCCTCGTACATTCGCAATTTAACAGTCATTATGAATTTCACAGTTTTGTTTGTTCAATGATGTATGGCACTAATACCCCTGTAACGGCACATGCCCCGGAGGTGTTAAAACCAACACAGGTGTTAACACCATTGTGTACACATGCAGTGTATATCCCTTTATCTGTCAGACAATTTAAATTATATTAGAAGCCAATCTTTGTATAATTCAGTGTACCATTTGGGATATAAAACAAAATAGTTATGACTAGAATAAATTTAGGAATTTTCTGGCAAAAATTTATTTTACACATTTTACATTTAAATAAATGTCACAAGACATGAAAAAATATTTAGATATACTATTTCAATTAATCATTACAAGTAAATGGTGAAAAAAAAGATTACAATTGCGATTGTGAAAACTCGTTTAACTTTGATACGGTTGCAGTTTTATTTTTAGTAAACGATTGTGACTTCCAACTTCACAAGATGGACACAGCATGTTGTAAATATGCTTTGAGACATTATTTACTAGATGATATAATTTTTTTTTGTACATCGACGGATATTTAATGGAATTTATTTTGTAAGAAATCAATGGAATAAATATTTAATTCTTTATTGTTTATTGTTTTTCTCAGTAAAATAATTTTAAAAAGTACGAAAATGGCACAGATTTGCTTTGAAATTGACGTAAATTTTACTGATTTTGGGGCATTTCTCGCAAACTTGAGTCTTAGATAGGTTGATTCGTTAAATAAGATGACCCCAGCGGTTCTGAGAAAAAAAGTATCGTCCTATCTTCCAAAACTTACGGTATATCAATATATTGGCCTCTTTGTGGAGTCATATGAAGAAATTTACTAATCTGGAGAGTCCAAAGGACACAAATGATATTTTGAACAATGTTATGTAAATAAAAACTAAAAGAAAACAATGTTTCTGTTTCAGGTAGTTAAATAAACAAGTTAAGAAAGCCAGTCAGTTGTTCAGTATAGTCAGAAAATGTAAATAATTAAATGAATACATTTTGTGCTCTGTCAGTGTCTAATGAAATGCATGTAATTTTTTTCCTACATTCCAGTGATTTGTGTACAGCATTTGGAGCAGGCATGCTGCCACTCGTTGACAAAGAATCAATCCAAGGATTGCTTACTAAAGGTCGACGCTCCAAAGCATCAAAGGCCAAAACTCTAGCCACATGGGCTACTAAAGAAATACGCAAACTAAAAAATGCCTCATGGTAAGTTTACGTTTTTGTTTTCATTCAGAAACATTCTAATCTTCTCCTTGGTATATTTTACATAATATGGCAGTACACATTGGTGACATAGAAAATGAAATAATGCAAAATTACTGCATGGTTATACATATGCAGTTAAACACACTTATAATCTTTCCCCTTGGCTTTAAAATATATTGTGAACTAAATGGATATAATGAAATACATTTACAGCGAACCAAATCATCCATCCCTGGGACTTCATTATAAGCGTGTTATACTGTATTTACTAGATTTATGTGCATCATTTAAAATTTTTGGCCAAAAGTGAATCAACAAGTTTGCCACCTCATACAGTGAACTTTGTTTTCAGTTCAGCATCAAGCCAGAAATGTTTACCAGTGAATGGGACTTCATTTCAATGAGTAAATTCTGTCTTCTTTTTTCAGATGACAGACTTTGAAACAGAACAGTTACTGTGTTGGGATTAACATCAGTTGACAGTCAAAACTGAAGTGAGGTGTGTGAGGGAGAGACTTGCTAAACACTTCTATCCGAGAGAGAGGGGAGCGAGTGAGGGGAGAGAGACATCTCAAATTGTTTACCCATAACAAAAAAATAAACAAACAAAATTGCCCCCACCATACACTGAAAACACTGAGGGATCACTGAGGATTAAAGACGGGAGTCCATGTTACCACCTAGTCTTTCAATGTTTACACTGCGAACAAAACAGGCATGGCCTTTTCCAGTTTGAAATTTTGTATAATGTATATTTATGAAACCCAGTTCTATATTTCCTTAAAGGTGCAAATTGTATTTTAATAATAATCATGAGATGTTTTTTTCTGTGCTCTGATAATGAAATTTAGTATCAGTAAATTCGAAAATTTTGAAAAATAGCAAAGATGATGCCATCTACCCACTTTAAGGGTTGTGACATTTCACTAAAACGAACCTTGAGAATTTTTTTTTTCCCTTTGATATGGCTTATGGTCAATCAATTCTGGTATGGGCTAGTGCACATGTGCCAAATGTGTTTGGCTTCCTAAAGGCAGTGGCAACCCAGTTGTTCAATTTTACACAAATAAAACATAATGCATCCATTACAGACAAAATTGCGAGAGAGTTTTTCACATAAAAGATTTATTACTTGTAATGCATGTTACAGCATTTACACTTTTTGTTTTGCATTTTTTATGTTCCTCTATCCTTTTGCTGTACTGATCAGCAGTATAATAAAAAAAAACCAACCCCATATATTTAAATTGAAGAGATTTTGGTGTAAATTTATTATATGAAAATATTGATTCAGAGCACTTTTGGTGACCCAAGAAAATCCTTTGTTGTTAATGGCTTAAAAGCTGGAATAGTGCTAATTTTATTGTTTATTTTGTTTGTAGAAGAGGGGGGAGGGTGAAAAATGTTACAATAAATTGATTTGCATTAGCAATTATTGTTTTATTTGTCACAACAATGAAAAATGTGTAAAGAAAAAGCAGCTAGAAAATAATTATTGAACTTGCGAGTCTGGTGTCGTGACAATTTACATTGCAAAATTCAGCTAAAAGGAAAAGGTTTTAATGGAAAAAGCATTTTCTGAGGATACATACATGTACTAGTGCCCTACGGGCATGTGTAGTCTGTTCTTCAGCTTTTCTGGTTTAAACTCTGTCAATCCATCTGCCTGTAAAATTTCCATAATTTTGACTTCTCAACAACAACGGGGCAAGTTTTAACGACAGTTGACACAAAGCATCCTTGGATAAAGGGGTTTCTAAATTGTTCAAATGAAGGGCCAAGCCCTCTTCCAATGGGGAGATGTTCAAGAAAAGGCAAAATTAGGCTGGGGTCATTATGAAATCTTCCTTTTAAGAACCACTGGGTCAGAAAAGGGGAACCATTGCTATATGGAAGCTCACTGAAGCAGTGTAGATTACAAATTGTTCAAATCGAGACCCCCAGGGGTAAGGTGGGGCCATGATAGGGGATGAAAGATTTACATTGAAATATATAGGGGAAAAATCTTTTAAAAATTTCTTTTCAAGAACCACTTGACGAGAAAAGGGAGAAACTCGTGTGAAAGCCTCTAGACATAAGGTAAATTCTAAATTGTTCCAATTTAGGACCCGCGTTATAGGGTAGGGCCAGAATTGGAGATCAAAGTTTTACATCAAAAAATAGATATTTAAAAAATCTCAAGAACCACTTGACCAGAAAAGGTGAAACTTGTGTGAAATCTTCCAGACATAAAGAAGATTCTAAATTGTTCAAATCATGAACCTGCGGTGTTAAGAGAGGCCACAATAGGGGATCAACGTTTTTCATGAATTTTTCTCTTTATCCTTTCCACAGCCATATCAGTAAAATACGTAATGCCGAAAAATAGAGATTCTGACCCCCCTGTGCTGGGGCCCCAGGGGAGGATTTCATAATGTACTCGGTATTTTGGAATGGATCATAAGAGGAAGTTGTATTCTATCAGTTGTTAAAATTACAAAACTCGGTGTAATTTTATAAACCGTGAGGTGCGCAACAGGCATATAGGTTTCATGAAATCATTTTTCCGGCCTCCGACGTGGCGAAGTGGTTAGAGCGTCTGCTCTAGAGTCGCGGAGTAAGTAGTTGATCCTTACGTCGGGGTTCGAATCCCACTGCGGGACGTGGAAACCGGTCCTTCGGATGAGACCGTATAAACCGAGGTCCCGTGTCGTAGTAGGTGCTGGCACGAAAAAAGATCCTTAACTGCTCAATGGCCCTGAGTGCCGAGTATAGGGCAAAATGTGTAGCCCTCCACCGGCAAGTGGTGGCGTCTCCATATGAGTGAAAAATTCTCGAGAGGGACGTTAAACAACAAACAAACAAACATTTTTCCGGATTACTTTGGTCGGTATAGGTTCCGCTTAATAGGCAGGTACACAATCTAGCAAGCTCCAGACAGCTCGGTATTAACGCTACAACTTCATATGTTTGTAATGTTCGTCTTCCGTCCTTCTTTCCTTCTGTCTGTCCTTCCGACATAGTTTGCGTTTAGCTTAGTTTCAAAAGACATTATTCAAGATATTTTCATCAAATTTCATATGCCAATCTACGTATTGATGAGAGCTATTCAAGAGCATCCACATTTTTTGACCTTGCCTTTCCTTTGACCTTGACCTCACTCTTCTCAATTTAGTGTTTAGCTCATTTTTTAAAAAAATATTCCAGATATTTTTATCAAACCTTATTTGCTGATAACTACTGATGAGAACTATTCAACTTCATCAACATTTTTTGACCTTGACCTTTTCTTTGACCTTGATCACTTTTCCTGAATTTGTGTTTAGCTAAGTTTCAAAGAAACTATTCAAGATATTTTTATCAAACTTCTTATACTGATACATATTGATGAGATCTATTCAACTGGCTTAAGGACATACGCAACGTACCTTACCTACTGATAAATTTTCAAGATATTCTTAATTTAAGATTATAGTGCCATCAGAAGTTCGTAGACAAAAGATCAGCATGCATTACCAAGGGTTTTGAAAAGATATCAATTGATGAAAATTCTTGTATGATTCAAAGAAAAATACACAAAAATTACTAAACATATATTCTAGATTTTTTGTTATCCAAACTTGTTTTAGAAGAAGCGTACAACAGCATATATAGACATAAAAATGTAGCACACAATTCCTTTAAGTATCGGAACTCTTCAAATCCAGGGAAAAAGACAATAAAGTTCAAACTACGTTGCGTATGTCCTTAATATTCTTGACCTTGCCCTTTCCTTTGACCTTGACGTAACTTTCTTTAATTATAGTGTTTATCTCAATTTCAAAGAAACTTAGATATTTTTATCAAACCTTATATAGTTTATACATATTGGTCAGAACTTCATCAATATTTTTTTACCTTGGCCTTTCATATGTTCTTTACCTCACTTATCTTAAAATAGTATTGAGCTCAGTTTTAAAGAAACTATTCAAGATATTTTTATCATAATTCATGTGCTGATTTTTCAAAATGCTACTCCTCCTACAGTTTTGGTATGATTTCAATATAACTTGGCAAACAAGCAAAATATACTAAGATACATAATTCTATACATTGGTTTTTGATTTCGATGAACGGTATTGCCATGGTAACTTAAAGTAGAAATTTCTGTGAAATAATTTTACACATTACTCCTCCCACAGTTTTGGTCTTATTTCAATATTAGTTGGCAAACAAATAGATTATAATAAGATACATAATTCTTTTTATCGGTTTTTAATTTCGATGAATGGTGATACGATGGATACTTAAAAAAAGAAATTTCTGTGAAATACCCAAAACGCTACCCTTTGTATGGTTTTGGACTGATTTCAATATATCTTGGCTACAAGTAGACTACACTGAGATACATAATTCTTTATATCAGTTTTTGATGAACGATGTTGCCATGGTTACTAAAAAAAGAAAGTGGGAGTTTCGATAAAGCCGCTCAGCGGCCCACTTATTTTAATTAAAATAAATTTCAATTTTTTTTTCAAAATTAGTTTAGAATTCAAGATAAATATGTTAATTTTTGTTATTAATATTTCAAAAGTTTATATAAGATGGACTCAAACCGTAACTGACGCACACTAATAGATGTACCCTCAAATGCTTTAACATTAGGGTTATGGGAAAATATCAAAGGGTGGCTTTTATAAATCGATGTTAAGAATATGAAGTGCATGAGGGACACACACCTAGTTTTGCCCAGTAATTAGATATACCCTGCACACTAATATCTTACATGTACAATATGATGAGTGTCGCGTATACACTTCATATCCCATAATTGAAAATTGCCTGAAATTTGCATATCTAAAATTAGAAGCTCCTGGTTACTTGATCTGACGCCGTGTTAAGATATTAAGCCAAAAATGGCATATTTTTAAAAATAAAAGTGGATTCCCGAAAGTATTATCAAAAGAACACATTATTGTATCCTATCTTTATTTCCAAACTTATTTCGTCGTCAGCATATCCAGGCCCGTAAAACGCTGGGGGGGGGGGCATTTTTTCTGAGTATAATATTTTGCTAAAGTAAACATTCCTTTATATGTTGGTTGGTTGTCTCACCTCCACTTTTTAGTGCAGTAAGGCCAAGCACTGGGGAATTCCAGGATTTGAACCGTTAATCACGTTTTTTTTTTGGGGGGGGGGTTGGGCTCGTCCTTTTGAAACCGTTGCTCCGGGCCTGGAGCTGCCTGATCTAGTGTGTTTCCTTGTCATCTGTCGGGTTTTAGATACTGCATTTTCAGCTAAAGAATGTCCAAGTTAATGTTTTTGGAGCAGTGCAGCTATAAGCACCTGTTAACCAGACATGCTTCATGATGCATCTTCGGATGTACACTACCAGACTTGCTTGAGAAGCTGGATCTGACCTGCATTTTCTTGAATGCATAGGGTAAAGAATTTGAAGCATATCTCATTTTTATGTAACTATAAGCTATTGCACATTACAAGAAATGTTACAGATGCCGAATCTTAGATTTTTCGAGTGATTTCAACTAAAGAAAAGTTTGAAAATAAGTCCATTCCTTAACGTTCTTTATCAAGCATATATATATATATATATATATATATATATATATATATATATATATATATATATATATATATATATATATATATATATATATAATCGTTTGTCTTCTTTATTTAGTTTATATGGTATTTTTGCTGTTTTCATGTAATTTAGACGTGGTAAAAATAGTGCTTATTACCTCTAAAAAAATCATGACGTTCATGGTCAACAATGTACAATAAATGAACACGTTTGTGTGGACCTCAAATCAGTACAAGCTTACATGTATCATCTTTTAAAAAATTAATAGTCTCAGCAACTGATGAAACAGTATTCATGACCTACGAGTCAGGATACTGCAGCAAATCTTCAGGTCATAGGCAACAGCATACCAAAAATATACTTGGGACGTAGAAAGAATTTGTGGAAGGAGATCATTCAACCCGTTACAGAACAAAAATTTCTTGACAAGAATTTTAAAAAAGTCATCAGACGTGGGCTCAACTGTAAAATTTGCAACCCAATCAGAGATGCATGATTTATAAATATAATGCAATTTTCCGGAAGCATTATATGACGTCATCTTCCTCCTAACATGAGATCGTCAAATACAAAGAAAGGAAATTCCAACTGAAATTTTTAAAATTGCAAAGCTCACGAAACTGAGAAATGTACCGTCATTTGTCAAAACTGTGATCTACCAGTTTGCATAAAATGTTTAACAGGGGTCCATAAAGGACATGAGGGCTGTTGATTTTTCTGAAATCATTGCTGCAGCAAAGAACCAGATAGAAGAAAACACTGCATGCAAGTGTGGAAAAGATCATTCTTCAGATTGAACAGGCGGACAGACAGATCGAGTCCAAGATAGCGAATTTGATTTCAAGATGCACTCTAATGCAAAATTAGTA